CTTTAACTGCTGTTAGCATTTTTAAAGATGGCAACCAAATTCTTGCTGGAACAGATTCTGTATGTTTACTACACTATGTTTTAAGAAATTTTATTAAAACTGCTTGGATAATAGTTTGTTATTTTGTTGTTATTTGTTTATAAGCATTGTTGTTATTTGTTTATAAGCATTTTCGTAAACATATATATTGTTTACAACATTATATATGTTTACAAGCTGTTTATAATTGAGCATTTAATGATTTCAGGGTACCCTTGGGATTCTGCATATTGCTTCATTAACATACACAACACTCACTAGATCTCATACAAGTGATGTAATATCTTTTTCTTTTGATCATGTTGGTAATCATATTGTATCAATCACTTACGATAACTATATTAAATTGTGGGACAGCAAGACCTACAGTCTTATTTATGAATTTAATGAAAAGAATGAATCACCGTTAAGTGTTTGTTGTCATCCGTTCAAGTCAGAGTTTGTTTGTGGGTTTCAAAGTGGAGCAATTAGAGTATTTAGTTTAGCTACAACATCTCTTTTATTTGAAATTTATGAGCACAATGCTGAAGTTTCACATGTTCTTTTTTCCCAATCAGGAGAATTTTTGTATACTTGCTGTGCAAAAGGCAATTTAGTTTTACACAGTACTTTCAATCAAGAATATTCTTGTGTAAGAAGTTTATCAGCAGTGGTTAGAAAAAAGAGAAATAGAGAAAGGGAAAAGGAAATTAGGAGTGACACTTTTTTGTCAATTGATGAGCAAGGAGATAAATTAGCTGTGATTGGCCCAACAGCATTATCAATCACAATATTTGTTGCAAGAACTTTGGACGAGGTACTAGTTTTTATATTTATAATATATACACTTCCGTTTAAAAGTTTTTCGGTTATATTTATAATATCTATACTTTTGATTGAAAGTTTATTTGCTATAATTATAATATATACACTTCAGGTTGAAAGTTTATCCGTTATATTTTAATATATACACTTCTGGTTGAAAGTTTTTTGGTTAATAAGTAATGTTAGAAATTTTTAGCATTGCTTATTATATGTAGAAATATATAAAATATTTGTTTTTAAGATTTTTTTCATAAAATATTTAGCACTATGCTTTTAAGTATTATAGATAACATAAAAAATGTTTTCACATAAAAATCACTAAAGATAACATATATTTATTTAAAACAAAACAGTAGTAAAACCTTTAGCTTTTTAAATACTCTCTTGATGTATTCTATTGTCTTGTTCTTCAAGAACCTATGCTTCTAGCCAATTCTATGTGCCTCTTAACATATTGTATTTTTTTTTTTAAATTGATGCTGCTTCTTGACTTTTTGTTATCGAATTCAACTCACCATTTCTCCAGACCCCCTACAGTCATTGATTGCTATTCAATATTATTTGTTTTTAAATTCAACATTTTTTCAATGTTAAACTCTTAAACATGAATTTTGTTAAATGCTGCAGGGAAAATCAGGTTGACAATGTCTATTATAGTTTATGGAAATTTATTTTATCCATGCATCAAGTAATATAATTTATTTTAATGTTTTTAATTATTTAAAACATTTCCTAATTTGATTTATATTCATGAATTTTGCTCTAAATTAAGAAAAGGTTTTTTAAAATGTTTTTAAGTTTATCGTTTTTTTTAATTTTAGATAATTCTGCAAATACTTTTATGGTGGCAATTCTGCTCAAAGGGCCATAAAAGTATGATAAGTAGAGGTGTATCGGAATTCCATTCTGGCCGGAATTCTGGCTGGTATTTGCAACTTTTAGATCATTCTGGTTCCGGCCAGAATTAGAATATTTCAAGCTGGAATGCCAGAATTTATTATTATTTTTTTTTAAAACATAAAGTTAAGACATGTGATACACACTGTGTAAATTAAATCAAAAAATTATTGTCCTACAGGGAAATGAAGAACTATAGGTAAACCTAGGTAAAAAATACAAAATTCGTAACAAACACTATAATTGTAATTTTAGATAAAGCTATAGTTAAGCGGTCTAAATATTTTTTCTTGTTGCACCCTCGTTAGTTTTATCTCATCAGTGGAGGGTTTTTAAACATTAAAAGTTTTAAAGTAAATAATGAAAGAAAAAAGATATGCCAATCCCTCAGTGGATGTAGTATGTACAGCAAGTTATAAGATAGTCAGTGTGGTCACACTCTCTTGTAGCAACAGGATAAAAGATAAAGGATGTAGCAGTACTCCCTTGTAGCAGCAGGATATTTGATGTATGTACTAAAGCTAATAAATATTCTCTACGTATTAAAAAGTGACCACTTTGAGCAAGCACAAAATTAAAATTATTTTTCTGTAACTTTTTATTTGCAGTAATCACTTATGTAAGGATTTCTAAAAGTTTATGAATATTGTGGTGCAAATAGTTGCTATCCAGTTTTGGGCAACAAACAAACTCTTTTTTCGTCAAAAATGTTGCCTGCCTCTGCAATTAGACTCATTTTAAATGTTTCTTAACTTTTAAATAGTTAAAAAGTATAGGATACCTAATACAGTAAATAATTCAATTTTTACTTAAATATAAAAATATAAAAAAATGTTTTTAAATATAAATATTATGCAGGATAAAACTTTCAATAAATAAAATTATAAGAAACAAATAAATATATAACATTTTAGATTTAAATGAAATAAAAATCAAACTAATGAAATATTATATATATATTATAATATATATTATGTAGCTATGATGCTTGCATTCTTGCAGGCAAAAAATTACATAAATGTAAATCTCGTTCTGGGCAAAATTCAAAATTTTTAATCCTGTACACCCCTAATATTAAGTAATACTTTTATTTTGTGATAACGTTTTTAATTAACTAATGTTGTTTGATTAAAATTGTTACACCAATTAAAAATTTATTTTTAATTGGTGTAATTTTATTATTTTTTATTATTATTTTTTAATATAGTTATTTAATTTTTATAAATTTGCTTTATAGAGTTTCTTATATAAATTTTAAGAATAAGTAGTTGAGCATTAAATTTATACAATTTAAAGCAAAATATCTCGTTAATCCTAATTTAGAAGAAGGCAAATCCGAACTAAAAATACCCTCATGGTTGAGTAAAAACTAGAGATAGTGACTCGATAAAAGTACTCATCTCAGATAGATTTTAAATGCATCTGGCTGCTGTCTTGTAGAAGGCCTCCTAGGCAAAGACTTAAGGGGTAAACAGATTCCATCTGTTGACCAACCCTTCCTTATCTATTAGGCTGGCGCAGATGTATTTTTAATACATTGTTTCCAGTTGAATGCTATGGATGTTGAATGCTAGATCTTCTTAAATCAATGCATGGGCTTTGCTTGTGTTTCTATTTTTATGACTGCATGACAACATGAGGTAACTCATTTACTTGGACTCATTTTGCTTGGATTTTTAATGTTGATTTGCTAAGTTCACCAGACCTACTTAATCTTTGTGAGACTAGTTTTAGCTCAGCAGTTTCATCCTGTAATCTTAGTGTTAGTCGTTATCTTCCTTTAATTTGTAATGACTCCAATAGTCATATGCTTAGCCTGGATATTTACATTTGTAAGTATTCACTAATTTGTATGGAAACTAGGTTTGAATCCACAGACTATTCTATGTGCTTTTGTTTAGCACCACTTCACTCTATCACCTTTCTCTTTGTTCTATATTGCTCTCCTTCATCTCAAGACTGCTCTTTTTTCTGATCAAATTAATGCTATCTCTCTTTATCCTTTAATGACTTAGTGACTAATGCTTATCACACTGAATGGTTTGGCTCTAGTGTCAGTGAATCTGCAGACATTAAAGCCCACAACTTTTGCTTTTCTTAATCTCTAACACAAATAGTCAACTTTCCAACTCACTTTCCAGACAATCCAAACCATTTACCTTCTTTACTCAACATTTGTTTTGTTTCTGATCTTAGTCAGTGCTCAGTTTCTTCACATTCACCCATAAGCGCTTCTGATCACAGTTCGATCTCTCTAAAGCTATTATCTCATTCTTCTTCATCATCAGAATCCTCATATGAGTGTACCTATTCTGCTGCTGCAATTTTCAATCATAACCATTACTTTCATCTATCAGCAAAACAATTCTTCAGAAAATAGGAGTCTGTTTACAACTGATAGAAACCATTGTAAAAAGGTTTTGTCTAATGCTGAAGCTCACTAATCTTAGGTCTTAAAATCTTGTATATCATCTCAATAATTAGCTGCATCTGTTATCCCTATTTTCAAAAATTCTGGAGAGTGATCTGACTCTTTCTGTCTAATTACTGTCCCATTAGTCTTCTTACTATTGTACTTCTTACAAGCAAGGTTTGAGATTCTTAATTAACAAACACTTAATCTCTCATCTTGAATCTAATAACTTACTTTCTGATCATCAATATGGATTTCAGTCTTCTCCTACTGCTGCTTTGTTAATGGTTATAACCATTTACCATTTTTATGGACTGGGTTTAAATAACCATATTAAAGTATTTTACACAAGTTAGTGTTTTATGATAAATATTCAAAGTTAAATTTTTTTTAGATGACAGCTAAAGGAGTAATTTATTATATATAGAAATTAGAACTTCCTAAAACCTTCATAAAAATAGATTTTTTAAAACTCTTTGGTTATTTTTTTATCCATAGATTTTACAGATTGATCTTCCCTTAGCTGACAATAAGAGTAAGAAGTATGCAGTGGAAGCTGAAATTGTGCAGTTTTCACCTTCAACTTTAGCGCATTTGCTTGTGGCAACATCAACGCCATGTTTACTTTTAATAGATGTGTCTACAGGTCAGCTTCTGAAGGAGGTGAATAAATTAATGTTTTTAAACATTTTTAATAGATAAGTTTAATAATTTATTAACTTTGATTTGTTTAACATATTTAATTTGTAAGTAGGTTAGAAAGTACACACTCACAAACCCACATCTGATAATATGAATACGCTAATTTAATATTATTATTATTAGTCAAGTTACGTCATTTTCTAGGCTTTTCTATTTTAAAGTAGTTTCTAGGCTTTTCTATACGCGGTTTTTTTTTTAATTTGATTTACTAACAACGGGTATTACGGGTTGCTTACTGCTAGTAATAGATAAGTTCACTAAGACTCACATAACTCAAATTGTTTAAATATTATTTGTATAATACAGATGATAATCCGGGTAATACAAATACAGGATTAAAAAAATGCTAAAATTAAAGAAATACAGGTAATACAAATACAGGATTATATGCCAAAATTAAAGAAATAGAAATAAGGTAAATAAAAGGGAATTGCTACTTTAATCAACTTCTAAAGCGTAAACAAATTAACAAATATAAAAGACAAACATTTCTTGGTAATACTCATGGTTTAAAAAATAATATTTTCTATATATATTTTATGTATATTTATACATAAAAATCATCATAATCAATATGATCATCAGCAACATCACCATTATCATCATCATCAAGTTTCCCTTTTTATGCTGTTTCTCTAATATAAAATTTTTTTTTTCCTTAACTAAAACTTGTAAATGCGCTTTTCCCAAGTTTCTTACTTCCTTTACCATTTTCTCTTAAAGCTGCTACCTAACTTCTTGCTAATACCCAGACCACTTTAATCTACCCATGCTTTGCTAATACCCACTGATAAACCAATTTAATCTTTTCTGACAAACGCTGTTCGATACAACACTTTTTCTAATCTCTAAGATTATGGCTACTTTTTTTGTCTGTTAGAATCATACCACACATCCTGATCATCATCTTATTTGGCAAATACTACGCCATATAAATACTAAATTTTATTTAAATTTGTAAAGATGTTATATGCCAGTATCTAAATAAGTAGCAAATATGTTTATATCATGTTATGTATACATAAATCTTACATAACCTCCTGGATCTAAGCAGATGTGGAATTCTTTTATTCCTTTCATTTGTTTTTAAATCATGCTTCATTCTACTCCATTTTTTTAAATCAAGCTTCATTCTACTCACCTTCTTGTGCAGTTGCTATAATAAACCGTAATCATTTTTTTCATCTTTTTCACACAATCTTCTCACTTAAGAACAAATGTCTTTTTATTATTGCAAGAACTTAATGTAAAAAGGTCCTGTCTGATGCAAGCTATGGTGTTCTCAGTTTACTAAATCTTGTCTCTTATATCAGAAGTTTGGTTTTAGAGACTTTAGGAAAAAAATTTTAACAGTGTCATTAACTAAATTGTAACTAAGTAACAATGTCATTAACTAAAGTAAGTCTAACATTCCATCTCTAATTCATGGGTCTGATGATATTACTTCTACCCAGTATAAGGCAGAGTTGTTTGCTAAAAACTTTTCCTCTAATTTGACACTTGGTTCTAATGGTCATGCTCTTCTTGCCCTTCCAGTTAGGCAGGTATTTATTAAGGTAATTATTAACATTATTAGACATCTAAGTCTAATAATGTTTTATTTTTAAACTTGCTAAACTATTATTAAGCGCTAAATAAGTAATTCCCATATTGAAAAACTCTAGAAAACACTCTGACTTCTCTAACTACCCTCCTATGATTAGTCAAACAGTGGTTTGCAGATTTTAAATCCAACAAAACTCAGTTATTTACTACAAACAACTCATAATATTGTTAACATTTCAATATTGGCAAAAAACAACCCTCCCATATTCAGACAAGGTCTAAAAACACATTGTAAATGTAGCTGGACCTGCTTTACCTGTCAAGCTTGAGCTACTCTCACATAATTGTAAGGCAGTATCTCTTTCTTTTTTCTATAAATACTATTATTATCATTATTAGTGTAATTGTATGAATTATTGTTAATTTATGCATGAATTTATAATATAGAAAGTTATAAGTAAGTATTATAAATGTTTTCCTAGCCCTGGCTATCAACCCTAAATTTTATAATTTTGCTGGGGCCAGCTAAAAATGATTAAAATAAAAACAGGCCAAATAAAAAGTGATATTGGTTACTTTTTATTTAGCTGATAACAATTTTAAGTTTAATTCACCTTTATAATCTATATTGGTATACACAGATAAGTTATTTTCATAATAAAGTTTCTGTCTGTAAGTTGTAAAAACTCTTTAAAATTTCTGTTTTTACTTCTCTGTAATTATCTGTATTTTTTATATATTATGTCATTAACAAAAGAAATAAAAACAATTATATGAAATCAATTCCTTCATCTTGCTTTCCTGATTCATATAATTTGCAATCTTTTAAGTTGTCTGTTATCTTGCTCTACAATCTTCATCTTTTATTTTATAGTAACTTCCAACACTAATTATTGATTGCTTGCAGCCTTGTTGGAAGCGAAGATATTTAAAAAAAAAATTTTATTAAATATTGAAAATTACAGATTATATTTGAAATGGAATGTATTATCTAAATCTTGCTAGATTTGATGTTTGCTTTCATTAACCATTTCTTCCATTGAATTAAAATTTAAAAAAAAAAATTTTAGTTTAATCAATTAATACTAAATTATTATGTATATATGTGTTATCATTATAAATGATTATCATTATTATTATCATATATTTATATGTTGTTGTACTGTTGTCATATATTATTCTAATCTGTTTCCAGTTCAGTTCCTGAATGTGAGTTTATTGTCAATAATTTTGTACTGGTAATGAAAACTGTTTAATTTTTTGATAATTTATAATATGATTTATTATACCGTATATATGTATAATACCGTATATATGTGTTATCATTATAAATGATTATCATTATTATTATCATATATTTATATGATAATAATAATTTATATGTTGTTGTAATTAATTATAATGATTTAATTAAAGGTATTTAACATCCATCCGAGCCCATTAACCAGTTTGTCGTGTTCTCTAAATGGAAAATACATTGCAACTGCAGCATTAGGTGTCATAAAAATTTGGGATTATTCAATGAAAAACCCACAGGTATTATGAATTAAAAAGTTCTTTTTTTATTTTTGAATTATAATTACAATGAGTAACTCACTGTGTGGTAAACCTTGTAGCGAGATAAAAACAACAGTTTACAATTATGTTTATCAAGACTTTTTTTAAATTAATTTGTTTCACATCAAATTTGACAGCAAATTTTTTCAGTAAATACTAAATAGTATTAATTGTACCAGGATTAAAAAGCGGTTGAACTTTTATTTTAAAAAATGTAAAATCAGTAAATGCACTAAAAACATTGATGTTCCTGTAACTTACATTGTGTAACTTACATAAAACATTGATGTTCCTTGTTTCCGCTTTTTACTCTTATTTTTAGGTGGAAAGCTCATCCTTTTTTAGTGTAACACAGTGTTACAATGTTTTTGTGCATTTACTGTTTTTACTAAAAAAGCACAACCCCTTGGACCAAATCCGCTAGACATGATTTGTTAAAATATTTTTTTAATTGGGTTACTACTATTCTTAGAAACTAATATTATGCTTTACAGATACTTTTATCTAGTCATTTTCTAATCATATTTAACTGATACAAGTTTTTATCACTTTTTTGTATGCATACATAAAGTTGTTAAATTGAATCTTTTTGATCTTTTTTTCATAAAGTAACTTTTCCTGGAATAAGTTTTGTTGCTTAATGTTGTTGCTTAATGTTGTTGCTTAATGTTGTTGCTTAATGTTGTTGCTTAATGTTGTTGCTTAATGTTGTTGCTTAATGTTGTTGCTTAATGTTGTACTCTCTCAATAAGAGTAATATCTTTTTTCAATATAGATTCCAAATAGAAGTCACATTAAGATGAAAATGTTTCAACATTTTTGCGATTTTTTTATGTCTTCATAATTAAAAATGTATGTCTGATAATACCTAAAACTTTATTTCATTTATTATGATAATTATGATAATTTTAATTGCTGTTTATTGGTTTTGATAATCTGTTATCTCCAAATCCTATTAACAAGTATCTCTATTTTTCCATTTTTTGTTTCTTTTCTCTTTTTTTTTTTTTGTCTTTTTCTTGTCAACTCTTTCAGTTGATGTTTTATGATGATGATGTTTTATTTGAGTTTATGAATATATTTTTCAAATTTTTGAATATAATTTTTTTGCTGTGGCAAGAACATAATTTTTGTGTGTGTTATTGTTGAAGTATTTGCTGTGGCAGGAATATCCTTTTTTTGTTTGTTGTTGATGTATTTGCTGTGAAAAAAATATTTTTGTGTGTGTGTTATTGTTAAAGTGTTTGCTCTGGCAAGAACATTGTTTCTTTGTGTGTTATTGTTGGAGTGTTTGCTCTAATAAGAAATTTTTTTTTTTTTTAATGTGTGTGCTATTGTTGCAGGTGATCGTTTTAGTAAATATCTCTTTGATGATTCTAAAATCATGAGCAAAATGATTGTTGTACACATATTGATTAGTTATGAATCACTTTTCTTTTCATGAAGAACAACTTCTGTTCAAGTGCTATTTTTGATTTCAATACCTTACTTTTTAATAATATTATGTTGTTATGTCATGCTGTACTTTTGTGGCTTGATTAATGCACCCAATAACGATATAATTTTTCAATACTAAAAATCCACGCTTTGATTTGACACTTGTTGGTTTCACTGTTTTCAAGAATTTATAGGAATTTTGCAAATATATGCCAAGAGTTCTTCCTTCTTCGAAACCTCATTACATATGATTTTTGATAAATTGTTTGAAAACTTCCATCTTCCCTTCTTGTTATATTTCTTATTATTTAAAATTGCTATAACAAGGTTTTCTTTCAATGACAAGATTACAGTGTTGCCAAAAGAATAGCTATCTGAAGAAACGCTGGTGAAAGGGAGAGGATAATAAATCAATAAACTCCTATTGAGCTTGAAATTGCTTGAAAAGTAAAACTTATGGGAAAGTATAGTGGCTTCAAAATTTGTTAATAAAAAACGCTTTATGATATAATAATAACATATAAGATTATAAAAAAGTAATAGAGCCACCTCCTTGATTAATGGATAAGCTCGTGCAATTCAGTAAACCTTTTTTATGCTAAGCTTTGCACTTAAAACTCTTCTGTTACCAAAAATAATACCATAACACTTTTTTTATGTTTACAACACCTTTGTGTGGCTTAATTTGCTGGATCCAAATATCTTGTAGAACTTGTAACATTGATGGTCCTTGTGCAGACATTGTAGTAAGCTGGAAAAAGTACATATTGAATCTATCATACCAACATAGATTAAATTTGAAGCTAAATTCATGTCTACAAGGTTATCTGTCTTAAACATTAGTGTTTTATCAGCTGGCAGCAGTGCTGCATTGTTTCAGCACAACGCTTCCACAGCCAATCTTACTGGCACAAGATATAAAATAACAGCTAAAATTGCATTGAACTTCTTATATTCCCTCAATTTCAAACTGCAGGTCAATTAGCAACTTGCAAATGCAATTTTTCATTTTTACAAAACATTTGAGCATTGTGCACAAGCTACTCCAGCAAGTTTTGGAGTCAAGTATTAACGGAAGTCTTTTACCAAATTCATCTACTATGTATTTTTGAAGTGTTTGATCATTTTTTGTTAGAGAAAAGCAGCAAAACGATTTCATTAAGGACCTTATTGAATAACGGCTGCAAATCATTGGTCAGTTCAATAGACTCATCTTTTTCGCTCATTGTAACTTGAAACTCACTACAAAAGTTTTCTTTGTTTCATTGTCAGGGCTTCTTCTTGTCACATTCACTGCTATAGTTGTTTTTAAACACTGTATTTATTACTTTTATTTTAATTTTTTTTGCAGAAGTTGTTGGGTTTTTTTTACAAAATGTCTTAAACACCCAGATTAATGTCATAAACAATGCACAATTGTTGATCACAATTATTTAAACATCTCATTTTCTACATTACAGAAGCTCCATCAGTTGTAGTACACACAATGTCTTTATCATAGTTCAGCATAAACTGTGTCAACACTTTTTGGACTAGTTTGATGCATTTTTCAGCAGACAGTAAACCAACAGTTCTAGCTAATCCAAGGCTTCAAATTTGACCTCATTATGAGGGTTTACATTTTAATACCTGTGATTTTTAATTGATGTCCATTCGTCATATCTGAAATTCAATTGTATCCCGTGTAATCAAAGGTTGTTGAACTTTGATATTACAATTTCCCTGATTGTATTTGCATGTTTGACTACCATATTGCAAATTGTCATTGCTCATTTTGGATGCAGTCCACTGGTATTTCCACCATTTAATTTTTTTTTTAACTTCTTTCACTTTCCAGATTGATTTTCTTTATCACTCTAATTAAAACCACAGAGAATTTCTGTCAACTCATATGTTGGTGCTGAACTGAACACATATTTTCTATTAACATTGCATCTCTGCTAAGCTTGGTTAAAAATAGTAAATATTCCATAATAGAAATTAACTTTAATAGCTTCAAACTTTTTATTCATTACATTATTGCAAAACTTAATTATCCGTTATTCATTAAAGCGAGCAGCGCAATGTTAATATTTTAAATCAGTGCTTTGTTAATAGAAAGAAGACAGAATTTTACTTTTAAATTAAGCAAGTTTTATTTCTAACTAAAGATTTTTGTCAATTTTTTTTTATAAAAAATAAATTAAACAAGTTATTACTTTCTCCATTTAAAACTCTTGAGGGAGCTTGATTTTATACCCTCTTTACAAGATGAACGAGTATCCCGCTATTTAAATGGAATATTTAAATATTTCATTTGCAACTGTCTTTCATGTGAAGAGAACAATCATGCTTGACTTATTACAACCCCTGTACTTATATTTTTAACACCAGTAATGAGCCAACCGAATACCGGTATTTTGGTACTTAAAAAAATCTGGTAATATCGGTATTCCTGTATCAGTAATACTGGTATTGGATGCACAAGGTTAGATCAATAGTTATCAGTCAATTCCTTTTCTATTGTTACTTGTACTTTATGGCAATGCAAATGTTAATCATGAAACTCTAATGTAAATAAAAAGTTTAAATTTCAATAGTAGAAACTGTAAATTACTTTTCTGGTTTCTACTTTTTTTCGGTTTGATATAAAAAAAAAGTCTTTTAATTTTGATCTGTCATTGAATAATTTAATGTTTTTTTTTTTAGTAATATCCAACAGCAAAAAAAAAAGCAACTCTTCTAAGCAAATATCTCAGAACAGAAAAACAGCAGAAAAAAAATTTCTTCGTAAAAAGAACTCATAACTTTTCTCTTTTAACTCTTAACTCATAACTTATCTCTTTTAACTCTTAACTCATAACCTTTCTCTCTTAACTCATAACTTTTCTCTTTTAACTCTTAACTCATAACTTTTCTCTTTTAACTCTTAACTCATAACTTTTCTCTTTTAACTCTTAACTCATAACTTTTCTCTTTTAACTCTTAACTCATAACTTATCTCTTTTAACTCTTAACTCATAACTTTTCTCTCTTAACTCATAACTTATCTCTTTTAACTCTTAACTCATAACTTTTCTCTCTTAACTCATAACTTATCTCTTTTAACTCTTAACTCATAACTTATCTCTTGTAACTCTTAACTCATAACTTTTCTCTTTTAACTCTTAACTCATAACTTATCTCTTTTAACTCTTAACTCATAACTTATCTCTTTTAACTCTTAACTCATAACCTTTCTCTCTTAACTCATAACTTTTCTCTTTTAACTCTTAACTCATAACTTTTCTCTTTTAACTCTTAACTCATAACTTTTCTCTTTTAACTCTTAACTCATAACTTTTCTCTTTTAACTCTTAACTCATAACTTATCTCTTTTAACTCTTAACTCATAACTTTTCTCTCTTAACTCATAACTTATCTCTTTTAACTCTTAACTCATAACTTTTCTCTCTTAACTCATAACTTATCTCTTTTAACTCTTAACTCATAACTTATCTCTTGTAACTCTTAACTCATAACTTTTCTCTTTTAACTCTTAACTCATAACTTATCTCTTTTAACTCTTAACTCATAACTTATCTCTTTTAACTCTTAATTCATAACTTATCTCTTTTAAGTAATATTGAGCAAAAGAAAAAAAAAAAAGATTTTCATGAATACAAATGCTTTATTAATTGTTTAATTTGTTTCTAATTATTGAATTTTATTCATTAGTTGTTTAACTTATAAAAAAAACATTAAATAAAATATGATTGTAACTGTATTAGTATATTTGAACTATATTTATGATTTTTTAAAATATAAGTATTGTTATATATATATATATATATATATATATATATATATATATATATATATATATATATATATATATATATATATATATATATATATATATATATATATATATATATATATATATGTGTGTGTGTGTGTGTGTGTGTATATATATATTTACACACACATACACACATATATAAATATATAAATTACATATATACATATATATATATATATATATATATATATATATATATATATATATATATATATATATATATATATATATATATATATATATATATATATATATATATATATATATATATATATATATATATATATACAGGGGCGGATACAGGATTTTTTGAAGTTTGAAATAACTAACTTCCAAACATGGAGCGAACTCGAAACTTTTATATATTTATAGTTATATCTTTATTATATATTTTATATATATATATAGTTATATACTTTGCAAAAAATTGAGATGATAGGAGCCTGGGAACAAAAAAGCCCCAAAATTTTTGCTACACCTGCCCCAAACGTGAGAGCAACAAGTTTATAAAATAAGTTTTTTACTTTTCTCAACTAAATCTATATTCATCGAGAAATTTTTAATTTTGTAAAACAATTTTTTAGCGTTCAATAATAATTTGTAACCTCCTCAAATTGAGGGGGATTCAAACTTTATGTGGCTTTAACTTTTGAACGTTAAGAGATTATTGTATGAATTTTAAAATTTGCCGATGAATATAGGTTTAGAAAAGAATAGTAAAAAAATTATTTTATCAACTTGTTGCTCTCACATTTGGGGCAGGTGTAGCAAAAATTTTAGGGCTTTTTTGTTCCCAGGCTCCTATCATCTCAATTTTATGCAAAGTATCCTTATTTGATATAACTATAAACATATGAAAGTTTTGAGTTCGCTCCATGTCTGGAAGTTAGTTATCTCAAACTTCAAAAAATCCTGCATCCGCCCCTGATATATATATATATATATATATATATATATATATATATATATATATATATATATGTTTGTATATATACATAATCTACCAATTAGGGATTTAAACAGATCTGAGCACAAACTAGTAGCCTGTAAACTGTATATTTAAATATCTATTATTTTGCTTCGGAGTTTTTCAACTTTGTTTTCACTTAAAGTAATTTTAATTTTTGAAATGTTTATCAAATGTAAATCTAAAGAAATGCTTTTTTCAAAGCTAATTCCAATGAAGAAATTGTAAGAAATGTGTTGTCAAAATTTTACTTGACTTATGATAGATAATATTTTATGAGCTACAACTGACTCCAAAACCAACTAATTCTTGTAACTTTAATTAGGAAAGGTCATTGGTTGGATTTTTTCACGCATCATCGGTCGGACAAGCAGCTCTTAAAAAGTAACTCAGATTTCTCAAGGAAAACCTGAGTCAAAGCCTCCAATAAATGTGGAAATGCGCTTTAACATCACTTCTAACTTTTTGGGATTGATTAAAGAAAATCTATAGAAAATTTTAAAGAAACGTTTGGTTCTACAGAACTAACTCTAGTTAAGTGTACACAAAAACGTTTGGTTCTACAGAACTAACTCTAGTTAAGTGTACACAAAAAAAAAACTGTATGAAAGTGCCATTGACTTGTTTAACTGGAACGCAAGTAAAATTATCAGCAATTGTCTCTTATATTTTTAATGCAGTATTTAAAGCCACTACTATTTTAAGTGTGAAAAAAAAATGCCTTGGCTCAATGATAAAAAGGGATAATTAAATTTGTTGAGGATCTTACTATGCAGTTGGAAGTCAGGTTCGAATTAAGTGAAGACGTTTTTCCTATTGCTATTTTCTTAGAGGGTCTAATTTAAATCAGTAATGCTTACCTTGGCAGAGATACAAATTGTTGAACCTTACTTAATGGTATATGAAAAAAGCATTATTTAAGTATTTGTACGTATCCCGGTGAAATTTTTACTCACGTGAACAAATTTCTCATTTGAATGGAAATTTAGATAAAATGTTTAAAAATGTTTATAAAAATTGTACCCTACCAGAGAGAAAAACTTTAGATCAGCATAAAATATTTGAAATAACTATGTACACTGAAGATAAAACATTAGGATGTTCAGATTGTCCTATAATCAAGTTGCACTTGATCTTCTTTCTGTACAAGATACAAGTTGTTCATTATAAAAACAGTTAATCTGTGGGAGGAGTAACTGACAGTAAATGCAATAGCCTTTTCAAGCATAATGCGGAACAGTTAATTTGGGCTGAAAGTAAAAAAAAAGGAGCTTATTTAAAAAACATAATTGTGTAATTGTATATCGTATTGTATATCTTATTGTGTAATTGTATATCCTAAGAATATAGAGATAAAAAACTTAAATTTAAATTTCCTCAAACTATTGGTTCCATTTGATTCGCTAATTGAATGCTGCTTCAATTCGAAATTAAATAAACCTTTTTTTGTTTATTAAATTTTTTTTTAATTATAGATTGCTTGCCCAAACCAAACCCTCAGTCGATGTAGCGGCACTTTCTTGTAGCAGCAGGCTTTAAAAAACTTTCTTGTCATTATTATTGCGATTTTTAAAAAAATGATAAAACTTAACTTTCTTCTGCGTTATTTTAATTATTTTAACTTTTAGCTTAATTGTTTAAGTCACTTAAATGTTAAGAGACTTTTTTTACCATAAAAATCTCCTTTGTCTGCAATATAAGGAGATATATACATTTATACATACATACATACATTCATACATACATACGTACATACATACATACATACATACATACATACATACATACATACATACATACATACATACATACATACATACATACATACATACATACATACATACATATATATATATATATATATATATATATATATATATATATATATATATATATATATATATATACACACAAATAGTATTGCGTACTAAGGTAAGCAATCTGATGTCATACTGAAATAGCCTGCTGCCGGGGGCTTCGGTATATACATAGACTGACAAATAGCCTGACTCGCAGTGGAGTGCTGCTACATTGACTGAGGGTTTGAGATGGGGCAGCAATCATTTCATTCATCATTCTTCCTTATTTTTTTTCTTTTACTAAAAAAGCCTTATGGATTAAGGTAAGCAAAAAAGGTGAGCAAATGCTTATAAAAAATACGCTTTAGTAAGTGTGTGTGTGTGTATATATATATATATATATATATATATATATATATATATATATATATATATATATATATATATATATATATATATATATATATATATATATATATATATATATATATATATATATATAGGCTTTTGTTGGACATTCAAAGGCAATAACTAAAATGAAGTTTTCTGAAGATAATCAAGTATTAATTACAGCTGGTGAAACACTTTTTATTTGGAAAGTCATGGCAGTTTCAAAAGATAATAGTCCAAATGAAAACAGGTATTAGATTATAAATCCACAGTATTTTCATAGCTTTTGAATACCAAAGTGCGCATAACACTGTATTGTTACACTACATTTATATATTTTATAAAACAACAAATGTTTTAAAACAATCTGCAGCTAACATTTTAAAACAGCAGGTGTGCATTCACATCTGCTGTTTTTAAAATATTAGCTACAGATAAAATACGTTAGAAAGGAATTTTAAGCTTTTGGACTTTGAGAAGTAGATAGAATTGAGATGGGCAATATGGATTGCTTGGACATAAATTACCTGCTGTTGTCTTACGGTTTAAAAAGATGTGTTTCAAAGTAAATGTAATTCCTTGATCTTTTCATTTTATTATTTATATTTGTTTTTTTTTTATTATTTCAAGATATTTTTTTTTTGAAATTGTAATTAATAGTTAGGTGATTATTAACTTACTCTAAATAATTTAAATAAATAGTTTTTAAATAAATAAATAGTAAAAAGATTCTTATTTTAAAAGTAAGGGTTAAGGTTGTCAGAAAAATAAGTCACAAAGTTGTCCATGGGCAAGGCATTGTGAAAGACTTAAGTATATATCTATGCCTACAATGGTTGATGGTTTTTTATTTGATAGTTACTATGGCCATGATTTAAATTATTCAAAAAATTTCTTTAGATAATTCTATATTATTTCTGTATTTAATTAAATTAAAAGATCTTAAATGTTTTGACTAACAACTTGAAAGGGATCTCACTAATACCAATATACATAGATGAGTTTTTTCCGGGAATTCCCCGAATTCCGGAAATTCACATCAAGTTTCCGGGAAATTCCGGATGCTTTTTGCTATTGATTTGTAAAAAGTTATATAAAATTTTAAATACGACATGGTTTGCATTTAAGCAATTATGTTTTCTATAAATGAAATTTTCACGAGATCAATTTTTTCAAAAAATTTTTTTCTTTTTAATTCATTTAAATTAACTTTTTCAAATATTAGAAATTCTTTTTCTTAAGAAGTTAATTGATGTAAATTCCGTTTTAAACGTTTGCAAAAGATCTTGTCGTTAAAAATTACTATCAAGAAGAAAGAAAAGAAAATGCAAGTTAAGAGTTTATCTGACATTTCTGAGATAGACAAAAATATCAAAAACAAGTTTCGCTGGAATTGGCTTCAAGAGAAAGACTATAATGATGAGCATTATTCAGCCTATATTACAAAGATAAATAAAGCCGGAGCGGTAAGTTTATTCTCTAACTGAACACTAAAATATATAACTTCATCATAGTTATATATTATTTGATTTAATGTTTTAGGTATGATGTACAATATGTAATAAAGACTTTTATTATGGAAGTGAAGGTAAAAAATCTTTACTCAGCCACTCAAAGTCTAAAATGCATCGTCAAAACTGCGCAATGATTAAGTCCAACGAAGCCATACCGTCGTCATTTTTTACTAATTTAAAAAAAACAGATATGTGTATATTGCCATATGGCACTCCGGATAACGTGCATATTGGCAGTACTTGCACAAAGAGAGTAAAGCCTACCATTAAACCTATTGTAAGTTTTAGAGACAGGACATCAAATGCAGAAGCTATGACACTCGCATTTATTTGTGAACACAATCTTCCAATATCTTTAACATCCCATATGATTGAATACGCAAAGGAAATGTCTAAAGATCATCGTGTTTTAAAAAATTTGAAAATGTTCAGAACAACTGCTTCGTATAAGCTGCGAGAAGGATTAGGTGAAGCTTTTCATGCTGAGCTTGTTTTTGATATGAAAATAAAAATGTTCTCCCTTAACATAGATGAGTGCTTCTCAGCAAAAAATGAGAAGGTTCTCAGTATACTCGTAGCATATTTTTGCGACAAAACTAATAAAGTTGTATTAAAGCACTACGCGTCATTATCGCTTGTTACGGTAAATGCCGAAAGTCTTTTTAATGCTGTTATTCATTTATTTAACAAAGACGCAATTCCATTAAGTAATCTTGTTTCCAATTTATCAGATTCTACCAATTATATGAGAGGAAAAATCAGTGGGTTTGAAACAAGGTTAAGAAAAGCGGTTCCTCACTTACTTGATATTGATGGTGATATTTGTCATCATGTGCACAATGTTGTCAAAAAATTTACTTCATTTTTCGGCAAGGTAGTTGAAAACTTACTGAATGATATCTACATTGATTTTAAATATAGCCCAGATCTTCGTACATTTCTGAAAAAAATCTGTCAAATCACAGGTGTCACATACAACACTCCAAAGCAAAGTGTTTGTCATCGATGGTTGTCTGTTTTAGATTGCACTCTTCCTATGCTTGAGATGATGCCTGCTTTCACCTTAATTTATTCTTCTTGGCTATCAAAACAAGACATCTCTCTGTATAAAGATAAAAGTGACAAAATTTTAAAGAGGCTATCAAATGAAAGTAAGAAACTAATAGAAAAAATAAAATGTAAAATGCAGCAGAAAAAACTAACAAAACAAGGTGCAGAAAGAAAAGCTAGAATTGTTAAAAGTTTATTTTTCTGACGTAATGAAACATTACTTTATATTAATTTGTACGTTGAAATTCTTCCTATTTTTAAATCATTCATTTTAACTTTTGAACAAAAAGAACCGTTAGTCCATCGAATTTATGATGAGCAAATTGAACTAGTGAAAACAATTTTAACTTGTTTTATTAAGCCAAAGATGATAAAAAATATAACAGGAGAAAAGTTGAAGTTTTTAAACCTGAAAGATAAAAAAATGTATCGCCATTCGAACTACATATACCTTGGAAGTAATGCTGAAAAATATTTGTCAAGAATACTTATTCGAAATCCTGATTTCAAATCATCGTTTTTAAAGACCTTGCTAAAAGCTTACCTTGAATCGTCAGTTTACTTACTTAATAAATTACCCTTTAACAACCCTTTATTAAAATGCCTCTCTGCGATCGACCCAATGTCTCAAGGTCACGAAATTACAGAGAGAATGCTAAGAAAACTCTCAACTTTCTTTCCCTCTGTAGATATAAATAAGGAAATATTTAAGTTATGCAGCTTCAGATAGATATAGCGCTTCCACCCGTATTTGATGATGGGAAGCCCGTACGTCTTGACTATTGGTGGGCTGAAGTTTTTAAGTGTAAAAAATATTTAGAGCTTAGTATGATTATCAAGGCATGCTTAAGTATTTTTAGTAGTCCTCATGTTGAGCAATCATTCAGCATGATGAACACCATAGTTAACAAAAAGACAAACCGTCTTGATACTTTAATGTACTCTGCTATAGCTTCAGTTAAGTATCAATTATTAGCAAATGAGACCACAGCAGTAGGGTACTTTAAAAGGCGAGATATATTGCATGACCTAGTTAACAAAAATATCTGTGGTCATTTGCAAACTGCAAGCAAACGCTATAATAAAAAAATGAAATTCCATAGGAAAAATAGAAAAGTTGAAGAAAGATTTTTAAATATAAATTCAACGTGGAACAAAAAAATTGCCTTACATGAACAGTGCAAAAAAGTTAAAGAATCTATTATTGATCATGCAAAAAAGTGCAGAAAAAGAAAAAGAAAAAAAAGTATTGATTCCTGACATTTATTCCATTGTCTTACATTTTATATTTTAAATATAAAGAAATTATTGCGCTTTGCAGGTTGCTAATGTTAAAACTGAGATATTATATTTCATTTTAGAGAAACATAATTAATGAGTAGTTTTTAGTTTCTTTATTTATCCCTTTACCAACGTTCCAGAATTTACCCACATACCTTCGTCAATTTATTGACCCTAAATTTTTCCGTGATTTTCCGGAATTTTCATGAAAATGACTTTCCGGGATTTTCAAAGAAAAAAATTTCCGGGATTTTCATAAAGTCAAAAACTCATCTATGAATATAACCATTTTCTGTGTAATCTGGTTTATTAGATGAAAGAGTAGCTTGATATACAATATTTTTACTTAGACACTGGTTGTTTATATAGCAGGTAGATTTATTGATGTAGTTGCAGGTTTTTGTTGTTGTTTTTTTATGATTGTATAAAATATTTTGAGTATGCAGATTGACTGACCTAATGTTTGACATACACAGGTAGCTAGTTTTAATGGTTTTTCTGTTAAAAATTTTGTGTAGTAAATGGCAAACAGGAAAGCTTGTATCAATTATTTTTAAAAAAGATAACCTATCTTTGTTGATTTAGCATAAAATATACTTCAGAAAATAATAAAAAAGAGTTAAATTTCTTGGATATAACTGTAACCAACACTAATAACTTATACTATAACTTCAAAATCCATCGAAAGTTGGCTATCACTAATATACAGATAAAACCAACATCAAACCTTGATACAAAAATATTGATGGGTGTTTTTTTAAATGTTTTGTATCTTATGCCATTAAAATTAGTTCCATAAAGTATCTTAATAATGGAATACAGTTTTTAGTAAACATGTTTGCAGAAAATGGACACAATAGATTAAAACTTGAAACAACTGCTAAAAACTATATTCAGAAAAGAAACAACATTTCTAAAATAAACTATAGTGAAACAGAAACAAGTAAATATACAGTTAAGCTTCCATGGCTCCCAAGAATAGGTCCAAAACTTAAAAAAGAACTTAAACATTACAACGTCAGAATATTTTTTACTACACCACCTATGTTAAAAAATATCTTATGCAACAACAAGTCAAAGTTAACTCCCAATAGCAATCCCGGTATCTTTAAAAGGTAAATGGAATGCATCTAATGCAACTGAACATGGTAGAATATGTAATGGTATGTTTGATTAGTCAAATCCGAAAACTCCAGCAATAAAATTAGAATACAATAAACGTAAAGTTAGAGAATCACTTGAAATTAATTACGTCTCAACATACCAGGTAATAAATCACGCTTCTATACTTCTCAACCGTGACAATGGTGTTAAAATTTCTACAAACAGTTGGAGACTCTTTATATTTTAAATGATGAGTCATTACCAAATTGCCATTGCACAATTTAAAACGTTTTCTTTGGTTGTTTTTTTTTTTTAATTATCTTCGCTTCCAACAAGGCTGCAAGCAACCACTAATTAGTTTTGGAAGTTACTGGAAGAGAAAAGATGAAGATTCTAGAGCAAGATAACAATTGACAGACGACTTAAAAGATTGCAAATTATATGAATCAGGAAAGCAAGATGAAGGAAGCGAATTCCAAAGAACTGATGTTTGAGGAAAAAAACTAGACGAATAAGAGTTTTTGGAGCACTTAGGAACAGTAACAGAAAAAGGATGAGACTTAATTGAATGACGAGTAACACAAGAATGAATTTTCGTAGATGGCACAAGAGACGCTAGCTCTTTCGAGCAGTGCCCATTATAGTATTTGTAGAAAAGAAAAAGAGAAGCAACATTACGACGATGTGACAGAGGTTGAAGGTTGGCTGCAAGAGTAGGTCCAACTATGTTTACAATGCGTTTTTGCACCTTGTCTAAAAGAGAAAGGGCACCATTAGAAGATCCGCCCCAGATATGGCAACAGAATTCCATACAAGGCCTGATTTGAGATTTAGAGAGATAGAGAATAGAATCCAGAGTAAGAAAGTGGCGAGCTCAATAAAGAGAAGCAACTTTAGCAGATGCTAATTTTGCAACGGATTTGATATAAGGTTTCCAAGAAAGATCAGAAGTAAGAGTTAATCCTAGAAGATGAAGGGTAGGAGACTTATTGAGTACATTACCGTTCATAAATATAGGAAGATCTAAACTATTGCGATAACGATTGGCCAAAAAAAATTGAGTTTTATCTGAATTAAAGTTCACCAGCCACTGTGAGCCCCATGCTGTAGCAGAAGTGAGATCCTTTTCAAGCTCAGATGCCCCCTGCAAGCAATCAGAAGGAGTTGGCTTCTTATCGTGACAAGAATAAATGGTAGTATCATCAGCGAACAATGCCACCTTAGATGTGAGAATATCTGGAAGGTCGTTAATGTAAATTAAAAAGAGTATATGGCCAAGGATTAAACCTTGAGGAACCCCTGAGGTTACAGAATAAGAAGAAGAGTGCTGTTCATCAAGGACAACTTTTATACTACGATTGGAAAGGAAGGATTCAATAATCTTAAAGATGTTTCCAGATACACCGTAAGAAGAAAGCTTATGGAGAAGACCAGCATGCCAAACTTTATCAAACGCTTTAGAAATGTCAAGAGCAATGGCCTAAATGGTTTTAAACATATACATTGTATTTCAATTTCCTCACGATTTTTCCTTATGTAGTTGTTTGAAACAAAAGAAACCGTTTTAGGGTTCTCCCACTTTATTTTACCATTACAATGTTGTGAATGTTCTACTATTCCAGATGTTTCCCAGTTGGCTTTTGTAACATTATTTTTATGCTCTTGAATACGTGTGGAAATCTTTTTTCTTTTTTCTCTAATATAACATGCACCACATGTGCAATTAAGAGGAAGCAGTTTAGACTTGTTTCGAAAAAGATCAAGGGACCAAAACGGAAGACTGTTTTAATGCCAACTTCATGAAATTCTTAAATGCTTAATTTTGGGACCCATAATAAAATAACAAGATTTTTGCTATCAATTTTTTGAGATCAAGTTGGATTTGTGGAGTATTTATAATTTTTAGCAATATCTGAATAATGTTTATAGGATTTTTTCGGATTTTTTCCATTTTCAGTAAAAATCTTAAGAAGAAAATTGATTTCGTCTTGTTCTGAACAAATTTTATATGCTAGAGCTAAAAAACCTTTAAAAATACCAATGCCGATATTCAGTGAAATAGATGATTTTGGTTTTATAAATATGTTTGTAATTGCATCTTTACGGTGTATTGAAAACTCATATTTGTGAAGGGATTGATTGGTTCAAATACAAATATCTAAAAAGTTTAATTGATGTTGAGCATTTTTATTTATTCACTTGTATATTGAATAGAATTTGTGTCATCAATATTAGTAAAACGAGTATGGCTATCATCAACGTAACGTTTATAAGATTTTGGTGCAATTTTGATGTTCAAAGCCTGTTGAATAGCATTAGATTCAATATGTTGTAAATATGCTTCTGACATGACAACCATTATGGATGACCTATTGGACCAGAGTTTTTTAAAATATATATTTTGTTTTCCAATAAAAATTAACACTTACTAATACAGAGGTCAATTAGTTTATGAATGTCTACTAAAGATAATTTAGTTTGTTGTATTAGATCATCTCTATCTTTGTTTAGTATATCAATAATTGTAATAGTTGTTTTATCAAGTGGCACTGATGGCTATTAATTAAAAACATCAAATGACACTTGAACTTCGTCATTAATAAACCATTATTTTGCTGTTGATACAAATGAAGATGAGTTTTTAACACAGCGTTTATTTTTATTTAAAGTTGGTTGTATATATATAACATATATATAACATATATATATATATATATATATATATATATATATACATATATATATATATATATATATATATATATATATATATATATATATATATATATATATATATATATATATAACATATATATATATATAACATATATATATATATAACATATATATATATATATAACATATATATATAACATATATATATATAACATATATATATATATAACATATATATATATAACATATATATATATATAACATATATATATATATATATAACATATATATTTTTTATATTTATTTACGTTTAGCTTAGATCCAAAAGATATTGCAAAGGATTATAACTGTAAGTTATTTAAATAAATACACTAAAAATAAATTTATTTTTATAATAATATTAAAAGATTGTTTTTATTTTCAGATGATACTTCATTTAATCAAATTTTTGAAAAATCATCTCTTGATTCAAGAAACAAACAACTTGAAGGAACTTTTCAAAAGATTGATGCTGAAGAATCAGATGATTGGTCGAAAACAAATGACGTTGGTGACAATAGAGATTATATGTGGTCGAAAACAAATGACATTGGTGACAATAGAGATGTGGATTTTGAAATTTCCAGAAATTATGAATTAGATCAAGAGGTATAGTTATTATTCATAAAAATTTATTTATAAATAAAGTTGCTTGTTAACCAAGTACTTACCTTTTTAGAGTGATAAAACTCATCAATCTCTCTACCCTCGCACTCCTCTTCCTTGTACCCCTCACAGATTACAGATCTATCATGCAGTTCCACAGGTATTGACTCATTTTAAAGCTCGTAAAAATATGTCTACTTTTGCAACTAAACACTATGCAGCTCCAGCAAATAAAGCTGGGATAAAATTGATATCAAGCATTGGTTTCAACAGAGTTGCGCGTAAGAATATATGCTGGCATCCTCCTGCAGGTTTTTTTAGTTTATATACAGATATTTATTTATAAAAGTTTAAATAGAATTATTTTTTTTTATACAAGAAGTTATGTATAACAATAACTAAACATTAATTGCTTTTGTAAGCAATAAATGAGAAATAGAACAACATCGATAAAAAAATTAAAGGTATGGAATGTTTTGCAGTAGCAGGGCACTCACTTTGTACAGTGTGTAAATCCCATCATGTCCGTTTTACTACTGTACTTGTTTTTTTGCAGTGGCAAAAAAACAAGTTAAGTACAGTACTTGTTACTTAGTGTTTGTATTTTGGAGCGAAAGGAAATAATTGCAATTACAATAAACTTTGAAAAAATTTCTAGAGTAGGGTTTCTCAATTATAATTTAGACTTAATCAATTAAATATGATTATTATATTTATTTATGATATATTATATTTATTATAGAATATAGTATTCATTCAAAAATGTCTATATAAGATGTATTATCCAATTGTACTAGTTTATTCAAAAATAAGTTTAAAGAAAAATTAAATATTTTTAAAGTAAATAAGTAATAAAAGTGTTATAAAATTAAATAAAACATAGGGTGTTGTTAAAGAAAACATGAGGTGTTGTTAAAGAAAATGTGAACCAAAAAATTAAATTAAATTGATTAAAAAAAAATCAAAGAGAACAGTGACAAAAATACCATTACTGAAAGTTTCAAAGAACACATGTTTTAGGATTGGTCCTACTTTTGCCTAAATATTTATTGTGCTAGCAAACCTTATTTGAATCATATCTGCTCTAAATTCTTTGAAGTTAAATAAAATTCCATTTATAGATGAAACCTGTAGAAATATATAAGTAAATGCTACTTTAATTACAAAAATAAGTTTATGTAAGTTTGAAATAATCACTTCTTTAATTAAAATTAGAAAATGAAAAGAAACTTAATACAAGCTAGGATCAGAAATTGACACAAATCAAGAATTGGAATAAGAGATTGAGAAATACAAAAAATTTGAGCTTTAGCAGCCAGCAAGATCAGAGGTGTTAGAATCAAGCCATATAATGTGGCAATCAATTTGTTTTTGTCAATTTGATCAGAAATAACATTGTGTGGTCTTGCAAAGCTGGGAACTATAAAGAAAAAGTAAAAAGGTGATTGAGTAAAGAGGTGAAAGTAAAGAGGTGAAAGTAAAGATCCTTATTTGTAAGCTATGCCTCAGTTCTGCTAATCAACCTAAAGTTGTAAGAAGTGACTTTCTATGTAATCTTGACAATGTCCACCAAAAGCACAAACAGAGACACTGTCCATGCATAACAAAGTGCTATCAATACTCTGACATTTTAAAGTTGTTAATGGATTCAGCCTCTATGAGAACTACCACAGCATTAGATAAACCTTATTACTTGTAGATTTCATAACCATTAAACTAAGTTTTAGAGCTGTACTCTCATAAGAAATTAACAAAAAGCATTGTATAGCCACTTCAAAGAAGTGCTGTGGTAAATATGTAAATGTTTATTATGTAGTCATTGTTAAGTAAAAAAAAATCTTTAATTGACATATAATGGTGATGATTCAAATGCTAACAAATAAATAAAAATATTAAAGTTGATAAGCAATCAAAAATAAAGAACAATAAAAAAACAAAATAATTAAAATTAAATACAAAAATAAATTAAATAAAAATGAGTATTTTATTTTCAAAATTAAATAATGAATATAAAAAATAATGAAATAAAATTTTTGTGTAGTTTAATGACTCCTTTAAATCTTTTCAAGTTCTTGAATATTTTTTTCAGGTTTGTTTGCATACACAATGGGATCACTGCTAGCAATTGATGATCTTAATTCTTGTAATCAACATCTGCTACTAAATCATTTAGAGGAGATTTCAACAATAGCTGTGAAACATGACGGAAAGCAAATAGCAACAGCTGCTTGTTACAGTCATGATATAAAATTTGCAAGAGTATGTCTGTGGAAAATAAACACAGAAGAATGTTTTAAGGTATTTTTTGTATTCTATATTTGTTTTTGTTTTTATCAACACAAGTATTTATTTTTATTACCATCTTTTTGTTTTTGTTATTATCATCTTTGTGTATCATTTTCATCATCATCTTTGCAATTGTCATGTTTAATAATTTTAAGGCATTTATAAAATAGTTTTTTAAAAAAAAAGGTTTTAGATATTCATAAATCAAACATTGTTGCTATGGAGTTTTCACGTGATGATCAGTATCTTTTAACTGTTGGAGATTACACTGAATGTTTAGTTATAGTCTGGAATGCTAATACTTTTATATGTTTGGAGTCTTTTAAAACTCTCTATGCAATACATGCAGTTATGTGGCATCCTTATGTTGCAGATCAATTTGTTTCTGTTGGTCAAAAAAAAACTGTAACTTTTTGGGAAATAAAAAATGAAATGGTCAAATTGAACTTGAAGGTTTATTTTTTTAACAAAAAGCTATTTTTATAATTTATTTTTTGTCTTTTTAATTTTTAATTTTATTTTTGTTTCTAATTCATTTTGTAATTTTTGTAAAAAGTGTGTTCAAGGATTAGTTCCAAAATCAGTATTTTTGTCAGATGTACAAAATGATGATATGACTGCAGTATGTTACGCAGATCGTAATTGGTTGTTTACAGCAACTGCCCATGGTATAGTGTGTTTGTGGAATATTTTAACTAAAACGTGCACAAGTTTTTGGAAAGCTGATTCTTTAGAAATAAGTACTTTGTTTAATATTCTTATTATAGAAATATTAAATAAGTATAAATGTATAAATTATTGTAATTAAAAATTTCATTAATTTTAATTTTTTTTCGAATTAATTGTATTTTTTTATTATTTATTTTATAGAATAAAAATAATTTAACTAAATAATTTTAATTAATATTTATGATTGAATATAGTTACTTTAGCAACTGGTTGTGGTAAATTGGTGACTGGAGGGGCTTCAAAAATACTTCGCCAGTGGTCTGTAGATTTTAAAAAGGAAAATTATATGTAATTAAATGTTTGTTGTTGTTTTTCTCTATATGACAATGTAGTTGGGTTGGTTTATCAATTTTCTTATTTTGTATAATATTGTTTTCAAATCTTTAGAAGCAATGGAATAGTTTTAGAAAAAGAAATCGATTTAGAATCACTCATTATTTCTTCCATATTTGATGAATACTTAGAAACAGTAACATTTTTTAAATATTGTTTTATATTATATATTGTGTATTTAGCTAAAGAGTTAAAGATTATACTAAAATAAGAAGCTATGAAGGCTTCAGTACATACATTTACTGATTATCTAGGTAAAAAATGCTAAGGAGTGCCGCTATGTGCTCTAGATTAACTACGGGTTTGGGTTGGAGCATCAATTCTTTTTTTCTCATTATTCTTTGTTTTCTTTTTCTTTTTCCAAAAAAATCATATGAGGTCAAGCAAAAAAAGCAAGCAATTGTTTGCCTATATATATATTGTATACACTAATGTGTGTATAAATATACATATATATATATATATATATATATATATATATATATATATATATATATATATATATATATATATATATATATATATATATATATATATATATATATATATATATATGTATATTAGGGTGGGTCATAAAATTTTTTTTTCTTGTTACAGGCTCTAAACATTGCTAGAAAGTTGTTTTTTTATGTACTAATTTAGGAAAGTAATTACTTTTATGGATTGAACAATGTCTTCCATCCGCAACTATAATTATAAAAATTAGCAGGCCCTATTATCATTCAAAAAAAAGTTTTTCAAAATTATGTGATGTAGGTACTCAAAAATATAATTATAAAAATTAGCAGGCCCTATTATCATTCAAAAAAAAGTTTTTCAAAATTATGTGATGTAGGTACTCAGGTATTTTAGATTTTATTGCATAATAACTATAGTTTTTTTAACTAAAAGTGAAAAAGGTGCATTTTTACATGTTTTTTTATAACAATTTTTTTTTGGCATTATAATTTTTATAAAACGATTATTATTTTCGAATTTTTTATAAAATTTCGCTTCTTTTGAGTACCAGGTTGACCTACTTTTGAAAAACTTTTTTTCTCCAAAATATTAGGGTACCGGTAATTTTGCCAATAAAGTTGCGCCCTTTAAATCTATCACAATCATTCTCATATTTGATAGTATCAATATTAATAACTATTGGCAATGTTTAGAGCCTGTAACAAGAAAAAAAAATTTTGTGATCCACCCTAATATATATATATATATATATATATATATATATATATATATATATATATATATATATATATATATATATATATATATATATATATATATATATATATATATATATTTATATATATATATATATATATATATATATATATATATATATATATATATATATATATATGTATATATTTATATATATATATTTATATATATATATATATATATATTTATATATATATATATATATATTTATATATATATGTATATATATATATATATATATATATATATATATATATATGTATATGTATATACATATATATACATATATATACATATATACATATATATCAGAGCTTATTTTAAAGCTGCAGGCAATTTACGTACGAATTGCGTACGCCTAGAGCAATTTGCAAGAAGCAACTTTTGATATTTTTTTAACTTTTAAATTACTTTATTAAGCGGTAAGATTAAAGAAGTAATTAATTTTATAACAAACCACTTTGACCATTATGTAAAAATGTTTGAATAACAATTATGTTAGATGTAAGCGCTATTTACAAATGAAAAAAACTAAAAGCGCTATTTACTAATGAAAACTACAAAAACTTAATCTCTATTAAGCTAATTATTTTATCGAACAGAAAACGAAATTATAGGTACGATTATAGTAACTATTATTGTTGTTTTTTTTATGCGAAGTTATTAAAAAAATAAAAGAAAACATAAAAGAAATATATATAATAAAAACTTTTATTTATCATCTTGAGAGGAAATGTATTGTTTATGCAACTTTTGATTGCATTAAAAAAATTTACTTAAATTTCTATTCTACAGTAATAAATATTTTCTACTTAATTTTTTTTTTTTTTTGTAACGATCGATTTTTGCTTGAAAACGCTAATGCTTTAAGCTTGAAGCAAAAATCATTATAACGTAATTTATTTCTGATAAAAAAATAAATGATTTAATACAAAACTAATTTAACAAAAATATATAATTTTATTCTGATAAAAAAAATTAATTTAATTTAGATTTAAAGAATATATAGTTAAATTTTGATTTAAAAAATATATTTAAGTTTATTTGAATTAAAGTCAATCCTTCCAAAACATTTTTTTATTACTCAAAATTAAATTTTAAATTAAATGGCTGCATCAAAAATTTGCACAAAATGTAAGTTAAATTTTTATTTTTATATATTGTTTGGAAAAATATTCTTTGCTTTCAAAACAAAATCGTTTATTAAATAATACTTTTAATAAATAAAAGTAGATAAATTAACGTAATTTTTTTATGTTACTTGCTAATTTTTTTAAAATAAAAATTCTTTTTTAGTTGCAATTTTTTTGTAATGATTAAAAAAAATGTGCTTATAAACTTTTTTTTATTGACTAAAAAATATGTTAAATTTTTTTTTTTTAAATTAACATATTTTAATTCCTTTATAGAAATGTTGAGGGAAATAATTTTTTACAGGAAATTTTTTTTTTAATTTAATATCAAATTAAATTATTTAATATAAAAAAAAATTAAAGAAATAAACATTTTGTATTAATAAAAAACAAGTTAAATAATATTTAACTTGTTTTGCGGTAATCTTAATATTATTGCAGTAATTTGAAAAAGTTAATGTCTTTAAAAAATAAAAAGATAAAGAGAATTTTATGACGTTAAATTCACATTAAGCTGATGCATTAAGCATTTGTTATTTAAAACAAGGCCTGATTTAAAAAACGGTATTAAAAATTTAGTTTTCACAAACTGCCTGTTATCTAAATTAATTCGGTCATTTAAAGGTGAACATTGGTACCTTTATATTTCAAGAGCTTTGCACACTTTTTGATTTTTTGTTTGTTTTGGTTGTAATTGTTTTAACATTTTCCCACTTTATTTCTTGTGAGCTAAACTTACAGGTGGCTATTGCAGGCTGATAATGTTTCCCTCATTTAATCTTTTTAGATGTTGTTGAGTTGGAGTCCTAATATGAAGTTTTATTTTGTCTACATATATCTTTGAGTATTTGCATTCAATTAAATAAGTTCCAGGTTGACTATTATGTGGCAATTTATTTTTGTTTTTTGATGTTAATAATGTTCTTAAATTTGGATTTAATTTGAAGACTGCTCTATAGCCAACTTTCTGAATTATTTTTCTTAGTTTTGGGAGTGGTGATGGTATCCATGGTAACAATACAGTAGGGAGGTTAAGAGAATCTGATTGAATATTTAATGACTGTTTATATCCAATTAATTTTGCAATACATGTAAGTTGGCAAATGTTGTACCCATTTTTGTTAAACATTTGAATAAGGAAATTAATCTCATATAAATTATAATATAAATTACTACAGATAAAAATAAACCCTGTGAAATTAGCTTTTAAATATTGCGTTTAGAATCAAAAATCTAGCTTGGCTATCATCGATGTATCTTAGATAGGATTATCTAAGATAGAAACTAGTAATGCCACTGCTTTGATAATACTTTTGATTTTAAGCCAAAATTTTAAAGCTCTGAAAAACTTACAATGAACTATATTAAATTGACTGTGATGTCACTAATTTTCTACCCCCTCCTCTGTGATTTTCACATGATCTATATTTTCTTTCATGTTAAAGGGTAACAGATTGTAAACTATAAAAATATAATTATATTTACTAATTAGTTTACTGTTAACTAAAATAGTAATGTTATTGATGTTTATCTTTCTGATTTTCATTTTAATTTTTAAGAAGGGTTATCTTCAAGTCTTACTTGAAGATAACCCTTCTTAAAAAAAACTTAAGTATGACAAGGTTGTCATACGTAGTTGCAACAAAAGTGTGACAACCTCTAAAAAAACTAGTTAATTAGAATCTAATTTTTTAAAAATTGGGTGCACTTTGCTGCCAATGATCAGTTTTTTAAAAAAAATAAGAAAATTTAATGTTATTTACAATAGTTGATTAGAAAACTATTTTTATTGTTAATTATTTTTATTTACTTTTTATATTCTATTTTGTTAATACTTGTTATTTTGTTTATTTGTTTTATCCTCACTAAATATTTTTATAAAAATAAATATTTAGATAATATAGAATTTATAAAATAAAAAGTTATGAAACAATATAAATAACGAAAACAAAATGAAGTAATATAAATAACAGTTAATTTATAATAATAACATGGAAATGGAAATAATAATAACATGGAAATGGAAATAATAATAACATGGAAACGGAAATAATAATAACATGGAAATTGTTTATTTAGGGAATTGTTGGGACAGATGATGGGACAATTTGGTGCATTGACTGGAATGATGTAAAGAATGTTCCAATTGTTAGCTCACATAAAGACACGGTTTGATAATATTAATTTATTAAGAAAGAATGAAAAATATATATTCGTGACCATACGTATATATTTACTAAATGAAATGTGGCTAAATGAAAAGTAAATGCAAAGATAAGGAGATGAATACAAGTTTTCAGTTAATGAATGTTAAGAATAATTTTTTTTTAATGGGTATTACAAATTATGAAAACACAAACATTTAATTATTTATTTTGTGAATATGCAAGTGTCATCATTCTTAGCTAATTGGCTGTTTTAAATTCCGTTAAAATAAAATTGAAATAAGATAATTTTTTTTCACTTTTTGCTTGTCTTCATTTTCTTAGGTCAATTTAAAAATCATATTTTTATAATTTGTTTAAAGTTCTGTTTTATTCTTGCCTAGCTGCAATTGCAAGCACACCTCATACTGTATTACTATTGAAAATGGAGGGTAAACTGATAAACTGATGTTATAATTAGTTAAACTGTAACATTAGTTTTATTCAACCAATAAAACCTAATATTGTAACTAATTATTAGTAACTAATATTAGTAACATTATTTTAAGTTTGTTGTTAAGGTTGCATGTTTAGAACAAATAAGTACTTAAATTAATTGTCAGGTTTGGTTAATTAATTGTGAGGTTTAAAAATATTTATTAGTTATGAATAAATGTCACTATTTTATTTATTTGTTTTGCTATAACAGTTTTACATTTAATTTGACTACAATGCATTTTTAAATAAATTTTTAAATTTCTTTTAAAAGAATGAGGCTATTATTAAAACCGAAGCCAAATATGACAACAGTAGTTCTTTAAAAGGAACCATAAAAGGTTTATAGTGTCAACAAAATCAGAAGTAAGATAATGACAAATGACATTAAAAAGAGGTTTTTATTGCAAAATTACCATATTAGCAGATGCCCATTTTGCAATGAATTGGATATATTGTTACCGTGAGATAACAATAGGTAAAGATAATTCAAGAAGACACATTATGATAATAATTACCAATAATCAATTGAGTTTTCAGTTCACCATCCAATGCAAGCCCCAAGCTGTTGTTCGGATTGAGCTTGGTTACTTGGTCTATTTATGAGTTATTCTTTACAAATTTTACTAAGTTCAACCTGGAGCTCTGTCACAGAAGAGAGATTTCATTCAAGATTGGTTACTTGTTTTATGCAATCAAAAAGTGATTTTATGAATTTTTTTATTGAGACTAAAAAATATGGTTATATCATCTGCAAATTGAACCCCTTTAGGGGTATGATTCTCATAAGGGACATTAAAATAGTTTAGAGAGAATGTGGGACCAAGAATGAAGCCATGTTGTATAAAGTTTACTGAAATGTATGTTATCCATTAAAGATGACTTTAATACTGTTGTTGTATTAGAATTATTCAATGATTTTATTAATTTACCCAGGTACACCATATAAAAAAGCTTATGGAGAAGACCAGCATGCTAGACAAAAATGTCCCTTTGTCTCACTAATTTAAATCTAATTGAATTTTTTTGTCATAAAAGTTAAAAAAAATAAACAATTTAACGAGCAGATCAAAATTCATTTTGATTATCAAAGAATAGGTTTTTGGACTCAAATTTGAATATTATAATTTTTTAAATTTAAAGCTAAAAAACCTGATAGTTGTAAGAAGACTGTAATAATCTAATAGTAAATAATCTCCAGGTTTTTCAAAAGTTAGAACTATAGGTACCAGTTTCTCAGGCAGGGAAACAAGATTTAGTCCAGACCTCTTTTTAAATAGTTTATAGAGTATTAAAAAAAATTCTTGTGAACACTTATATGTGTCTGTATTTCTGGTGAACACCTTCGTGTGACTGTTCTTCTGCTGAAATTACAATGATTCAAGTGAGTTGTTAATGAATCTGTATAAAGAAGACTGATGAAGGAATTGTATAAAGATTTAAAAATGTCAATCAATGTCAACTATTTTACATAGCTTAAAAATTACACTCTGTTTTTGTATACAGGTACTTAAGGATAACTTTTATTCCATACTTAAATCTAATTTTCATATTTCATACATAAAAGCATCTTCAAGATTTCGGTTCATGCATCAGCTAGCTACACATCTTACTGATGAGGCCATGTAAGCGGTGTACAAGTGTGTAGTGGTGCCTTTGGTAATGTAATGTCCAACTACACTTATGATCTTGAAACAAAACAAGCAGATCAACTTATATCAACTGAATTTATTGTATGTATTGTATCTACAAGGTGGTCCATAAATCACTTTACATTTTAAAAATTAAATAACTTTATTTCTATTAATATATTTCTATTTCTCTTTTCAGAATTAAAAAACATAATCTTTGGAAATGGTATGAATAAGTTTACAACAGAACAATGAGTGAAGATAATTTTACTTTGAAAATGTCAATTGTTGCAATGCAAAGATCTTATATGCGCCATTTTAATGTTTGACATCCCCCTAGTAGGCCTGCGATAACGAACTTAGTATAGCGTTTTCAAGAGCATGGGTCTATAAGTGATAGGACTAGGAGTGGACAAGGTCATTCAGTACATACACGTGAAAGTACTGAAGCTGCGAACTGTAGCATTGAAGAGAAGCCAACCACATCCACTCGAAGGCGTTCACAAGAACTTGGGATCCCACGGAGTTCTCTGCAGCGCATTCAAAGAGACTGAAATGTACACATGTACCCTTACACATGCACCCTTACAAGGTTCAATTAGTACAATCTTTAAAATCACCAGACTTTCAGAAATGACTAAATTATGCTGTCAGGTTTCAGAGAACTGCAAGAAATGACAATTAGTTTATTCACAAGTTGATCATGGGAGATGAAACTCATTTTCATTTGAATGGACATGTGAATAAGCAGAATATTAGATTCTGGGGCACAGAAAATTTACGCTAAGTTTATACGAGTCAATTGCACCCTGTTAAAGTCACAACATGGTGTGGAGTAACATCAGAAAGGGTTATTGGGCCTTTCTTCTTTATAGATGTAAATGAAAATGCTGTGACTGTAACTGCTGAGAAATATCGAGACATGCTAGCGAATTTTGTTCAACATTAGTTAGCAAACATGGTATTGGGGGCAACAACATGGAGCAACTGCACATACTGCTAAAGCCACAATTGTTAACTGCAATGTGCAACAAAAGCTGTAGATATGTTTAAGTCAGAAATTAATTTAGCATCAAAAACTGTAGATAAGTTTAAGTGAAAAATGATTTTAGTTAAAGTGTTCAAATGAGAAATTAATTTACCAACAAAAGCTGTAGATGAGTTAAAGTGAAAAATGATTTTAGCTTAGTTGAAGTGTTTAAATGAGAAATTAATTTAGCAACAAAAGTTGTAGATGAGTTTAAATGAAAAATGATTTTAGCTTAGTTGAAGTGTTTAAATGAGAAATTAATTTAGCAACAAAAGCTGTAGATGAGTTAAGTGAAAAATGGTTTTAGCTTAGTTGAATTGTTTAAATGAGAAATTAATTTAGCAACAAAAGTTGTAGATGAGTTCAAGTGAGAAATAATTACAGCAACAATAGCTGTAGATTTGAAATTCTTTGAATCCAAATACTTCTTAATTCTTTATCTTTAGGGGGGGGGAATAGTATTTTTTTACAGCTTTTATTATTTTTAGTGCTTTAGAAATTAGTTTAGCAGCACAACACTTTTTGGGCATCCTTAAAGTATAACTATTTGATAAGGTTATTTAGTTATGCAATCCGTAAAGTAAAATTTTTTAAACAATATTCTGTGAAAAATAACAGCCTACTATCCACACCAGTTATAATGAAAGTATAAATAATGAAAGTATAAATAACAAAAAATAACAAAATTATAAATACCAAAAGTATAAATACCAAAAAATAATGAAAATAGCACTACTCTAAGTTACTAACTTTTAAACTCCTAATTTTGTTAGGTTTTAAAAAGTTAAAAACAAAAGCACATAAAATTGTTTACTAAATTTTATTATGTAAAAAACAATACAAAACTAGTAAAGGTATAAAAGAATAAATAATTTTAAAGCTTGTCAATGTGTGTTCTTTTTAACTTTACATTTTTTTTTTAATTATTACAATAATCTCTCAGTCACAGCTTACAATTGTACGATGAGAAAGATATTCAGTATAGAATGTCATTTGTGGTATTAAAAGAAAACACATTAAAAAATAGTCAGAGGGTCACATGACCATAGGCATAAACCTAATTTATCAACAAATAGGTACATAAGTTTTTTCCTTTGACAAACATGTGGCTTTTGAAGTTTTTGCAAATCAAGGCTAACTAAGATCTGATGAAGAAAAAGGTCTGGTGAAGAAAAGGTCTGGTGAAGAAACAATTAAATTTAAATTAGTCACTCAAGAAACAGTCAAATTTAAATTAGTTGCACAAAGAGCAGGTAGGCCTAGAAAGTTTTGCAAGTAATATTCTGTGGGTAAAAAGTTACTTTGAAGAACACAAATATTTTTGACAATAGGATTGAAAGAGTTTGGTGATAAATATGGATTTTTTATGTTTCATATTTTTTGATATTATATTTATTTAAATTATTTGATACTTTAATCAAGTATCAATAGAACTTTAAATCAATAGAATTAAACAAAAAGTTTTTTAGAGTTAATCCAAGTAGACGAAGGGTAGATGGCTCATCAAGTACATTGTCATTCATAAATATAGTAAGATCTAGATTATTGCAAAAACGATTAGCTGAAAAAAATTTGAGTTTTATCTGAGTTTACCACCCACTGAGAGCCTCATGCTGTAGCTTAAGTGAGATGCTTTTTAAGCTCAAATGCCCCATTCAAATAATCAGCGAGTGTTAGCTTCTTATCTAAAAAAGAATAAATAGTAGTATTATTAGCAAACAATGCTACGTTAGATGTAAGAATTTTTGGGAGATTGCTTATGTAAATTGAAAAAAAATAGGACCAAGGATAGAACCTTGAGGAACCCATGAAGTTACGAGAAATGAAGAAGAGTGCCTTCCATTGAAGACAACTTTTATACTATGATTGGTAAGGAAGGATTCAATAATCTTAAAGATGTTCTTGATACACAATAAAAAGAAAACTTGTGGAGAAGACCAGCATGCCAAACTGTATCAAAAGCTTTAGAAATGTCAAGAGCAATAGCTTTAGCCTCTCCACATCTATCTAATGCACAATAAAACCTATCAGTTATTACCCTTGATAAATCAGCAGTAGAATGAGAAGATTGAAATCCATATTGATTCGAGAGTAGATTATTAGATTCAAGATTAGAGATTAAGTGTTTCTTAATTAAAGGCTCAAAAACCTTGTTTATGATACTAAGAAGACTAATTAGATGATAGTTAGGCAAGTCAGATTGCTCTCCAAAACTTTTGAAAATAGGGATAACAGATGGTGCTTTCCAGCTGGTTGGAAAACAAGACTCTTATAAGCGCTTAAGTAAAAAAATAGTTTTGAAAGTATAGACAACAGCTCCAAAAAACATTTCTAAATGTGGTATGTTGTCTAGACTATAAGCTGTAGAAAAATCCATACCAGAAATCACAGAAAAAGTCCCACTCAGCTTTAAGGCAGTTGTAGGAGGCACAATGATAGGGGATCCTGATGATGAAGAAGAATGATAAGTTAAGTAGAGAAGGTAAATTATTCGAATTGTCTGGAAAGGAAGTTGGAAAATTGACTATTTGTGTTAGAACATTAGAAAGGCAAAAGTTGTTTTTATAGAGGTGTCTGATGTGTTATTAAACCAAGTTTCTGTAATGAATATAATTTATGTTTGAAGATATGTTTTAGTATCAGTCAAGCTCATTTGAACCTGATCTTTTTAGTATGTTGTATGCTTGGTCTTTGTTATACTGACGATTTAGAGGCTATTCGAACTGTGTTGGCCGTTCTTGTTGAGATACTAAGTTTTTGTTATACAACTTTGACTGTTTCTCAAACTAAATTAAATTTAGCAAAGAGACTTGATTTTGCAATAGCAGATTTGTTACAGTCGACTGGTTTGACAGTGCTTTTCTGTCAATGGCTTGGATTAACAGCAAAAAGTGCTGATCGAGGATACCTAGATGTCTAATTTGGTGTTTTTCACTTTTTCTTTGTTAAGCTCATTATTGTGTTAGTTTACCGTCTGAAAATAAAATGAAATTTTAATACTGTAAAACAACAAGTTTTAAAAAATAATTTTATAAATTAATAATAAAATAATTTAATTTACTTGTTTTTTTAGTAATTCATTATAACGCAATAAAAATGAGATAATAAGGTGTAAAACACCTTATTAACTCATTTTTCTTTCTTTGCATGTTTTTGTTTGAGATAATTTATATGAATTAAAATTTAAAGGTGGACCAAATTTCTAATAATGGAATTCTGCACAAAAAAAAAAACAAGTTTATTTAAATTTATATTTTTTAAACATATTTAATTTTAATAACTTGAAATCTTCTGTAAAATATGAAATCTTCTGTAAAATATAAATTCTGTAAATGTTTTTTTTTTTTTTTTTTTTTTTTTCATTTACTTTTTGTTTTTTCTGTTGAAAAATATACTTAATTGTTATTCCTTAGAATCAGAAAGTCATAAAATTCTAACATTTAGATAACAGATTTTACAGTTTGTCGAGGCGAGGAAAAGTTTATGGTTTCAACAAGTATTGATGGTGGTTTGAGACTATGGAATTTAGACACAAGAGAAAAAGTTGCACAGTTTTTAATATCGGGTCAAGTAAAGACTTTTTTATTTTAGAACATTTACTTTGTGATTTATATATAAATGTGAGTATACATGTCAGATAGGCACTGTTTTAGTATGTTTTGCACACTTTATGTTTTAAAATGCAAACCTACAAATGTGTGTGTGTATATATATATATATATATATATATATATATATATATATATATATATATATAATATATATATATATATAAGTATAAGTAAAGACGTTAAATATACTGTTTAACTAAATGCATTAATTTAATTGAGGAAACTAATTAAATTTTATGTTTTTTTAAAAAACCACAAAAATGCAAACTAAAACACTAGAATGTTTTTAAAAACATTCTGTAAGCGCGCTTCTACAAGGGAAAATTATGTTAGTGTATTCTACAAATAGAGTGTTTTTAAAGAAAAGAGCAATGATAAATTAGTAAAAACACTTGTTTATTTTTTTTCTTCAATAACTTGTTTCTCCATCATGTTATATTTGTTACAAGGAGTTGCTATAGTTGCTATAGTTGCACATGTTGTTAATTCAATATGGGATATTTGAATTTTCACACAAACTTTTATTACAAATATTTGACAGAGCTCACAATAGTCTGTTAAAGTCTGATTAGGAAGTGACAATTTAAAGAAGAGCTAGTAGTTTATTGCCATTAAGTAAAAACATTTTGTTTGTTGAGAAGCCTTGGCACAGTGGTAGCACACTTGTCTCAGAAACAAAGATTCGTGGTTCAAACCCCATCTCTGGGCAAGATTTACGACATCGATTAGGAAGGAGGTGTTAACTTCCAATTAAAAGCTAATCCACAGTGCTCTGTAATAAGATCGTAAGCACTTCTTGAGGCACCTAAATAATATATGAAAAAGATCATTTTTCATAAATCTATTGCAGTTTATCATAATATTGCATTTAGCCAAAAATCTATTTAAGATTTCTTCCTAAATGTTTTTATTTTATGACAATAAACTACTAGCCATCCAGAAGGATGATCCTTGGTTTAATCACTATAAAAGAGAGATCTGCAGTTCACCAAACTGTATAGTTCACATGATTAATTTATGCAATTTTGTTTTTTGAAAACACTTTTGTTAAGTACAATCAAGGACATGGCACTGTTTACATAGTTATTTATTTCTACAGATAATACAAATCTTTAATTTTTTTTCTTTTTTTGGACTTCTTGCCAAAGTAGTAAATTAGTTAACTATTTAATTAATTATAAGTTTATTTTGAAATTCATACATTGTTTTTGAAACAACTTTTTTTTTTTTTTTTGTGGACTTTTTTTTTTGTGACATTGAAGTTTTTTAATTTTTTTATTTAGTTTTTTTTTTTGTGTAAATTCCAGACTGGTGCCCAAAATTCTTATTCGAGTCTGACATATATTGTGTATAGTTTAGGAAATGTTTCAGTGGTATTAAAATGTGCATTTAAAATGTACCTAGTTTAAATAAGCTTTATTTGTTATCATTGTGATGTGGTTGTTTCAATTGTTATCATTGTGATGTGGTTGTTCCATTTGTTATCATTGTGATTTGGTTGTTCCATTTGTTATCATTGTGATGTGGTTGTTCCATTTGTGATTGTTACCTATGGTGATACCTAGGTCCCATTTATGTAATATTTTGTTTGAATCTACAATTTTTTCATGAGTATATATATTTAGAGGGTTAGCTTGATGTAAATGTTCAATTAATTTTCTTGATATTATATTTTTTATTAGTTATTTTCATGCTCTAATTTTTTGTCCAATAAACTATAGAGATCATCTTGTAGTATTTCTGTGTCTTTACAGTTCTTTTTTATGACAAATAATTTACATATGCAAATATTTTTCAAATACTGTGAGCTAACACAACCAAGTAATTGATAAATAAGTTAACATTAATATCATATATTGTCAAAATTTATAAAGGCAATTGATTTACATGTGCAAATATTTTGCAAATGCTGTGAGCTAATACAAGCATGTAATTGATGCAAATATCTTCAAATACATGTAATTGATGAATAAGTTATAAAGGATTGGTAATAAGACTTTGTCTTTTAATACTTAATACTGGAAGCCATTCAGGTACTTCATTAATAATTGATAATGCTAAACAGCCTTTGTTAAACAACCTATGTTAAATAACCTATGTTAAACAACCTATGTTAAAAAGTGTTATCTATGATACTGCATAAAGAGAAATCAAACTAATTCAAGACTTCATACATCTGTGCCAGAATAAATAATTGAAATAATATTTGCTACTTTGTGTGGCGACCACAGGAAAAAGTTTTCACAAAAAAAAACTTTTCAAAATTAAAAACTTTTTAAAGTATAATTATAATTTATTTTGTGAAAAATTTGTTATTGGTTTTATATACTTTTTAAAATTATAAGAACTTATGTTAATTATAAAATTTTTAAAATTATAAGAACTTATATTAATTAGAAAATCTAAAAACAAATTATAAGAATTTATTTTAAATTTTAGTTGAAATTAGTAGTGTTTCTCATCTTATTTTAACAACTTTAAAAATAATCTATGAAAGTTATGCAACCTTTCCAATATGTAGTACATAATTGTTATGAAATACTGAACAAACGAGCTAACGTTGGGCTTTAAATATTCACATAAAATAATTACACCACATAAAAAACAGTGTATTTTGATTTTTTTTTTTATCTAAATGAGGCTATAAGAGACCCCCACCCCCTGATAAAATGCTGGTCATGACAATCCTGACTTTATATATAAAGTCACGATCAGGATTGTCATCATCACCCTTATCTATTATGTTGCCTTGTAATGCTTTAAATTATGTTGCCTTGTAATGCTTGTATTTTTAGGAAAAGGCTAAGAGAAGTTGATGTTATACTAATAAGAATAGTTATCTTGGGCAACTACACTTAACTCTTGTAGAAGGCTTTTTAGGTAAAAATTTAACTGTAGGTAGAAGATCTCTCTTGACTAGCCTAGCATATTGTCTTGATTTAATAGGCTGGTATAGATGTAAACCTGTGTTACAGCAATATGAGTAGAATATATTACATTACATTTTACTTGCTGGACATGGTTCTACTTATAAGTTTTTGCTTGTAACTCACTTTAGTGGTTTTGCAACTCTTTCTGTTGTCTGCTCATGAGCTTGAAAACTCACTCTAATGGTTCTATGATCAGTGGGATGCGAGGTTTCATGAAATCTGTGGTAGCGTTTGAAGAGGCTAATTCCATCAGTAGTTTTAAAATATCAGAGTACTAACAGCACCATGCTGTACCTAAATAGTGTCATTGTTTGTGCTTTTGGTCTGCTTTGTTAAAGCCACATTAAATATTCTTTGCTACATTGGGTTAATTAGGAGCAATAATGCAAATAAGGTGCAAAGTACTATCTATATTTGAATCAAGTTGGAATCAAGTGAGTTTGGAATTATATATGTTCAAGTCAAGTTGATTTAAATCAAGTAAGTTTGACTGTCTATATTTGGGTCAAGTTGACTGTATCACATAAAAACTTTAAAAACTGTTATTATTACCAGATTTGTTTTAATTTATTACATCAATTTTACAAATATTTGTGGTCTTCAAATCATTGTGGTCTAAATTGAAATAACTTTTTTATGTGTAGAATCTATTTTAAAGTTTGCTTTTAATATTTTAATAAATAATAATAATAATACATTTTTAATAATATAATTTCATTTTCAGATCTCAATGTTAATGACTGTTATACTTTGATTTAAAAAGTGCAACAAAAGAAAAAGAAAAGCCTCCAAAAGGCTCCAATCAGATTCTTGACGCAAATACTTGTGCATCAATTCACCCCCAGTGTGTTATGAAATCAATTTTGAATTTTTGAATTTTGAGTTCTTTTATGTTCTTTTGTTCAACACCACTTTTTTCTTTGTTCTCATCATTCTACTTTTTTTTTTTTTTTTTTTTGATGTTGTTTCTAATTGACCAAGCTTTTTTTCTTTATCCGTCTGCCAATATTGTTGTTATTGGTGACTTTGATGTTCATTACACTGAATTGCTTGGCTCTAATTTTCCTAACCCTGCAGATGCTAAAACTTTAATTTTTGTCATTCTTAATCTCTTACCCTAATAGTAAACTGAAATATTCATCTGTGATGGCTTCAGTACATACATCAATTAAATTTTCAGGTTTGGACAAAAAAAATCCAAATATTATTATTTATTTTTATCTTTTTGGCATTTTGAAACATAAACATATATATATATATATATATATATATATATATATATATATATATATATATATATATATATATATATATATTTATATATATATATATATATATATATATATATATATATGAATGTATAATTTTATATTATATTATATTTAAAAATTACCACCATCACTACCTATCAACAATCTTTTATCCAAAATTATATCTGTATAATTCTTGATAGTGTTAGTGACCTTACATATTTTACCCTTATCAATGTTGGAAACTCTGCTTTCTCAATGTACAAATGAACTGCTCTTTTTCATACTTGAACTTATGTTCTTAGCTAACTTCAATTTCATATTTAGAGTTAGATAAAAGTGTGCAATTCATTATTTGGAGTGCTACTCAATTTTAAATATAGATTTGTAAAATAAACTTATGAACCCCATTAAACCTTGAATGCGTGTTTAGATAACATCTATGACATCACACTGAAATAGCCTGCTGTCGGGGGCTTCAGTACATACATCCACTATCTCAACTGAGGGTCTGGCATGGGGCAGCAATCTATTCTTTCATTATTCTTTGTTTTTTCCTGAAAAATTAGTAACAATTTATTATCTATATATGCTCTATGTATTACATTATATGTAATAACCTCATATATATATATAACCCCTATATGTATATATATATATATATAACTCCTATATAAAGGGTTATATGTATACCCTATTGTATGTTATAAATTATTTGTGTATATATATGTATTTTATATATATATATATATATATATATATATATATATATATATATATATATATATGTATATATATATAGATATAGATATATATATATACATATATATATATATATAATATATATATATATATATATATATATATATATATATATATATATATATATATATATATATATATATATGTATATATATATATATATATATATATATATGTATATATATATATATATATATTTTAATATATATATATATATATATATTATATATATATATATATATATATATATATATATATATATATATATATATATATATATATATATATATATATATATATGTATATATATATATATATATATATATATATATATATATATATATATATTTAATATATATATATATATATATATATATATATATATATATATATATATATATTTATATATATATATTTATATATTTATATTGCATATATACAAAAATTAAAACTTTCCTCTGGAAAGTTTTAGTTTTGTATACGTTTACTTATTTTTACTCATTTCTTTATAATTTTACAAAAAATAGCAAAATAAAGTAGTTTATTTATGTGATTTTTTCAAACTTATTTTTCAAATAAGATTGCAACTAGTTAACTTTTTTTTATTTTTAACTCTTTAACTCAATCTTTTTTAACTTTAGCTTGAAGCAACTTAATGTCAAATATTACTGGTATCTGATATTTCCTGTGTATATTATCAGCATATCTAATATATATGTTGTTATTTATGTATTAGGAAGCTATCTGTGTTGATTTTGTTCCACATGTTTTTTCAAATTATGAAAGAAAAGACTTGTCTGAAAATAAACATCAAAACTCTACTGCTAGAGATCTTCCATCACAATGTGTTGCAGGGTATTCTGATGGTGCTGTTCGAAAATTTGATTTTGGGCAATTGAAAATGACACTTAAAATTAAACTATTTAAAAATAGTGTTACCCAGGTTTTATGTTCTGCAGATGGTGAGTAATAATAAATATTTGAAATATGCTTAATATAAATTTAGGTATTAGATAATTAATTGTGCAATATGTTTTTCTTTTAGGTGCTTATGTAACTAGTGGATCATCAGATGGGTTACTTACTATAAGCAACCTAGTTAATGGTGTTCCACTTCGTGTTATTACAGAACACAGAGGAGCTCAAATATGCAATCTTAGAAAACAGTATGTAAGTGAAATACATATATAAAAGCTACTAAATTTTCCCAGAAGAATATCCCATTAAGCTTTGGTAGTTGCTCAGAGGTTTTAAACATGATACAATTTGTCATTTTCAATGTAGTTAAAAACCATGTATATTATATATATATATATATATATATATATATATATATATATATATATATATATATATATATATATATATATATATATATATATATATATATATATATGGATATATATATATATATATCCATATATATATATATATCCATATATATATATATATATATATATATATATATATATATATATATATGGAGATATATATATATATATGGAGATATATATATGGAGATATATATATATATATATATATATATATATATATATATATATATATATCTCCATATATATATCTCCATATATATATATATATATATATCTCCATATATATATATATATATATATATATATATATATATATATATATATATATATATATATATATATATATATATATTATATATATATATATATATATATATATATATCCATATATATATATATCCATATATATGGATACATATATATACATATATGGATATATATATATATCCATATATAGTATATATAAGGTTATATTTTTTTAACATTTAAACAATATCTACAATTATTAGACATTTTAATGTCATTTAAAAGTTAAAACATTTGAAAAGATGCGGAAATACATTAAGTTTTATCATATAAGGCCGGGTGAAAAAAATGAGCTATTGCTTTTTCTCAATAATTGGTCAGCTTTACGTGAATAAAAACTTAGGCAGTTTTGCTCAAATTTTTATTCACATAAAGTTAAGCAATTTACTCAGTAATTGTTCAGCTTTACGTAATTAAAAACTTAACCAAAATTGATTAAGTTTTTATTCACATAAAGCTGACCAATTACTGAGTTAAAGTGCTTACAAACAACTTGAGTAATTTTGACCTCAAGATTATCCAAGATGTAAGTAATTAATAATTACCAGATATGAATAAAGGATTAATAAATTGAACAATTTAATTTTGACTAAATACTTTAAACATAATTGGTACATGTACCAAGTTCGTTTAAAATATCTAGCCAATCATGAATTTAGATAAGGCTGTAGCATTACACTATTTGCAAAAACCTTCAAAAATTATTTCTATGACCCCTAAAGTGCTTAATTTTTTATTCGAAAACAGTGATTATTACAGTGATCAACTTAATAAACAGGTAATAAAAATAGTCATGAATAACCATCACCAAAATCCGAACATGTTTTTAAATAAATTCATGAATATAAGTGTTGATCAATTAAGTTCATGAATATCAAGATTTCAATTGCCAAAGGCAAAATTCAGGTAAGTTGGGAACTTCTTTAATTGCAATTAGTGCATCGATTTTGTTATCTTTCAACCATTTTGTTGATGCTGGTTCACTGCTTTTCTTAAAGTCAATTAATTCTATCCAAAAAGTTGCTTGAAAGTTTATCTCAACATTAGCAATATTTGTAATACAGCACTCTTTATTTTTACTTGTCCTGAGTTTTTTAATGACTAGTAACACCTGTTCCTTTATGTTAGATTCTTCATCTCTATACAATATATATATCATCTCTATACATCTATATATCTATATATATATATATATATATATATATATATATATATATATATATATATATATATATATATATATATCATACAATATAAAAAGTTCTCAGATAATAGACAATATGAATTTTTTTTTAGATTTTTAAAACCAATGTTTTGTATTTCTTCATCTTGCTTCCTTATCTGTTCTGTCATTTTAAAGAATATACTTAGAGAATCCATAAATTTAGAAGACCTTTTAATAAGAAGCCAACAAACCTTATAATTTACAAGCCTTACATGATCAAGACTTGGTGCTTCAGTACAAGTATACAAAGCCATGATTCGAATTACTAAAGTCAACCATCTTGCGTTGTTTAGTGGACCAATTTTTCTTCTAAAAAATATGTTATTGACAAATCCTTAGAAATTCCAAGACAATATCCAAATAATAGTCTTTGATCGTGGCTTAAATCATTTATTACTTCAATGGGAATATTTAGTATCTCTACTGGAGTATCAATTTTGGTAAACTTCACTTGTGGGTTAAGATGGAAGTCTATAGAAACTTGCTTTCCAATAGTTCCTGAAAATTTATTTGGACACTTTGAACTGCCATCAACTATTTTGAATACTTTTCGAAATGGAAGTTCATTGTGATGCAAAGTACATCCGATAAGGTGTATTTTTCTTTCTAATTTCTTTTCTAAACATGCAACGGTTCCAGTCTTGAAACCTGTATTGACATTTGTATTATCAAGAAGAAGGGCTTGTACTGAATTTAAACTATCATACTCTTTCGGAACATTATATACAATTTCACTTTGAAGCAAACCAGTTGCACCATTTGATGGGAGATTTTTATGAGAGAGATATGAACCATTTTTAAAACTATTTTCATTAGTAAAATTTAAATGATGTTCTTTTTCAGTAACTCTTGACAAGCGAGTTTCTCTATTTTCAACGAGATCATTAAACTGAAGAACATTTTTATCATCTTTACCATCAACACCCAAACACACCAAGTTACTTAAATTATTATCATTTTGATTACCATATCTTAACATTACTTTCTTTATCTCTCTATAAAACAACTCAAAGTATTATATTTAGCTAAGTATCATATTAAATGCTTTGTAAATGAGCATTTATATAAATTATTAAATAAAGAGATATATTTATATTTGTCAAACTTATGTAATGAAATAGTTTATTTACCTCTCAATTTTGCTTTGATCTACTACTTGATTAAAATCTCCATATTTAATGATTCCATAATCTAGAAGTAGTGCATTTGCAAGTGCAGCTGCAGCACGAGATGAGACATCATACCTTGAAATAAGAAACTTTGAAATAAATCAATAAATCTGAAAAAGCAAAATATATTATCTATATGTGATAATATATATATTCACCCTCATATATCATATATTCTCTCCCACATGAAAAAAAACTTGATGAAAAATGAAAAATGATGAAACTTGTTTTTTCTTAATAATAATATAAAAATTGAAAATAATTGAAAAAAATATAGTATAAAAAATTCTCATCTAAACTCAATATGTATAAAGATTTTATATACCTGACAGCCTCCATTGCAATCTATCAAATTTCATTAAATTATATTGAGAACTTTTTACTGGATTATATTCTTCCTCAGAATCATTTACCTGTTAAAATACTTAGTATTCAAAATATGAAAAAAAAGCCATATATCTCAAGCAGCATACTTTGTAGGACCAACATTTAAAAAATGTTGAAATCGTTGAAACAAAGCTATTTTAGCGTTGCCAGGCAACAGTTGCCCCAACAAAGTGTGCTGTTTTTGATATATATTTATATATATATATATATATATATATATATATATATATATATATATATATATATATATATATATATATATATATATATATATAAAATAGTACAAGCGCATTTAAACAATTTTTAAAAATGTATTCTACAAAATAGAGTGCTCAATGTTCTTAAAAGAACAGAGCAATTATAAATTAGTAGAAAATCACTTAACAAAATTTTTTTTTCATTTTACACTGTGTTTCATCAACAAAGACTCATCAGGAATGACTTATTAAATTAATAAAACTTCAATTTTTACCAAAAAATTAAATTACAGGAAGAAAAAATTAAATTACAGGAAGAAAAAATTAAATTAGAGGAAAATGCATTCTAAGAAAAATTTAAAATAATTACACATGCAAACCAAGAATGTTTGTTGAACAAAAAATCAGAGTTGATTTCTAAATGCAGGCACGAAAATAAGTTTCTCCTAAAAAACTATAAATATAAGTGAGCTCAAATAATAGTTACATTAAATCCCCCCTTTTTTTCAAAATATTTTTATAAAAAAAAGCATAAGTAATCCTTTCTAAAGAATTCTTTTTATAATAGTGTCAGCAAATTCCACAAATGTGTGAAAATTTACACTAGTTAAAACATTTGTTACTTTCTGTAATTTAATTTTTTGGTATAAATTGAAGTTTTATTAATTTGATAATTTATTTCTGATGAGTCTTTGTTTATGAAACACAGTGTAAAACGAAAAAAAAAAAATTTAAGTGATTTTCTACTAATTTATATATATATATATATATATATATATATATATATATATATATATATATATATATATATATATATATATATATATATATATATATATATATATATATATATATATATATATATATATATATATATATGTATATATATATGTATATAAAATTGTATATATACAAATATACATAAAAATGTTACCAAAACATCTGGATCGGATGCTGAAACTTCAGATATGTGACCAGAATCAATTAATGAGTTATGGGCGAAAGGCATTTCAACATGATCTATAAGCTCTACTTAAACTAACCTTTGCGGAATAAATGTACCAGATTTTAAATCAGCCTTTCCTAGCTGATAAATACCTTTAGGACCAATCTTGTTTCTCTGGTCACGAATATATGCCCTGTCTTCAGAAGGGACCTTGAATACAGTTATTGAAAATAATCAACTACTTTAGTTTAAATGAAGTGAAAAAATTATATATAATTAATAAGTAATTGCAGATTAAAACAACAAATATTTTAGTATATACAATAATATATGTATAAAAAATGTAATTAAATACCTTTCTAGTTTTACAAAGACATTAGATGTGCTCTACTTGGCAATTGATGATGCTACACTTAACATCTCGGTCATTACATAAAACAGTTGCTAATTCACAAGTACATGATGATATATCAAAGAGTTTATCTAAAATCAAATCTTGATACTCCTTACTTTTAGATTTACAACGTCCTCGGTTTATAGATTTTATTCTTTCAAAAAGATTTTGTAATTTCCTTAAGATTGAATTTCTCTGAAGAAGAGGAAGACGTGAGTTTACTTCCACAAAGTACTCAGAAAATTTTCAACCTCTTCTAGTAGATTCTGTTTTGAAATGTTTTGGTTATTGTTTTCAGTGAAATAAAAAAACTTAATTACTTGACGAAATGTTGGAAGATCAGCTGAAGGCATTTCTGATGTGAGACCTCCGTATTTCAGACTATTTTCTAAACGAGTTTTCCTTAATTTGCTTTTAGGCATTTTTTCTATAAATTATTTGCTATTTATAAATTAAAATTATCTAAAAGCAACAAAACAACGCGCAATGCGCATGCCTACTTTAAAAAAAATTCGAAAAATGGCGATTTTCCACAAAAATAGATTATGTCTTAATAAATGTACATTTTTGTAAACCAGCCATTTTCCAGGTAATTATTAGCAAATACATGTTATACATATTATTATTATTTTTTGATAATCTATTTACTCCAGGGTTACTATAGTTCTAATTCCAAAATCACTCCACCCTAATATATATATATATATATATATATATATATATATATATATATATATATATATATATATATATATATATATATATATATATATATATATATATATACACATATATATATATATACACATATATATATATATATATATATATATATATGTTTATACATATGTATGTATGTATATATATATATATATATATATATATATATATATATATATTTATACATATGTATGTATATATATTTATACATACGTATATATATATATATATATATATATATATATATATATATATATATATATATATATATTTATACATATGTATGTATATATATTTATACATACGTATATATATATATATATATATATATATATATATATATATATATATATATATATATATATATATATATATATATATATATATATATATATATATAAATATTATATTTATATATATATATATAAATATAAATATCAAAATTAAAAAAACATAAAACTGACATTTTATAGTAAAAACTTAAAGACGACCATGCAAGAGTATATATATATATATATATATATATATATATATATATATATATATATATATATATATATATATATATATATATATATATATATATATATACAGTTACTAACTAATTTTACCTCCTGATAATAGTTAAACAATCAAACTTTATAAAAATTTTACTCAGGGTGTATGTAAAAATTTGTTCTAACTAAAATAATAATTTTATTTTTAACTAATGAAAAAAAAAATCTAAAAATAAAGCTCTATATAACAAAATAAAATAAAGTCAATTCAAGTTTCTAGTTAAGTTATTTAACTCAAAAGTTAGTTTAACCTTCATCAAAATATTTTAATTATTATTTTTAAATAATCACAAAATTATGAAACCAAAATACTATTATGTTTGCCGGTTTTTAATTTTTTTCCAACTGTTTCAGATAATTAACCGTGCATAATTTGTTTAGTTTGGATTAAATAGTTACATAGTAAAACTTTTTTCAACAACACGATCAAGTTGAAAAAATTTTATTTAATTTTTTGGATACGTCCAACGATGTAGCAGACATGGCCACACAAGAGCATTGAGTGACTGACAAATATAAAATTGCAATAATATTGGAATTTTAGAAAATAATTGTGAAGTATTTTAAATTTGTAAAACAATTTCTTTTTTTTTTAAATGTAAAATAACAAAAAACAAAAGGAAAAAAAGGTTTTTAGGTTTCTAGAAAACCAGATTCATAATCTCTAACATGGTGGTAAATTATTTGTTTATTATTTTATTAGACTTCAAACAGTTCGTCCTACTTATGGCTGACATCAAGCATTGATTGCAGAATAAGTGTATGGAGATCTGATTGGGCAATGGATTTGTGTGAACTTAATGATTGGATAACATTTCCCACAAATCAAAATCAAACAAATGCAAAAGTATTTAATTCTAGTTTTGTTGCTCTCTCCTTTTTTGTTGTTTATTATATTTAATATTTTTATACTTAAAAAGTTACATTTTTTTTTACCTTAAAATGTAAATATTGTTTGTATGCCAACTTTTAAATCTCTTTAAGACAAACCTAGCTTTTCATGTATTTCTTTTTAAATTGTTTTTATTTTAAGGAACATTGACATGACATAGAACATGTCTAAATAACTTACTTTGTATGACCATCATGCATTTCTTTAAACAAATAAATAAAACTACAATTCTTTTTAAATTAAAAAAATAAATTCAAAGTATAAATAGTTCTTATCTATTTAGATTCCTTCTTCAGTCAAATGTTTTAACAAATTGTTAATTTGTTTGAAATAAAATTTTTATTTATTATTTATTTATTTATTATTTACATATTTATGTATTTCATTTTTATATATTTATTCAGGTATTTAACTAGATTAAACTAGGATTTTTCTACTAACTTTAACTAGGATGAAAAATCAGCTTTCAACAAAATTTGCTTTTATATGTTTAGATAAGATATCCTTGCCTGGCAGAGTTTACACATCATAATGATGATATCATAATTTATACTGGGTTTAGTGTTTGCATAGAAATATGCTTATACTGTTTATCTGAAAGACAGGTAACAAAAACACTGATATCTGTTTTATATATAATATAATAAGTAATGTATGATAGTAATGTATAATATAACTTTTTTTGAAATAACAGGTAAATATATATATATATATATATATATATATATATATATATATATATATATATATATATATATATATACCCAGTGGGAAAAAAGACGTCGAAAAGACGTCTTTAAAAGTCTTATTTACGATGTCTTTAAGTCATCTTTTTTTAATCGATTATGCAAATCTAAAAAACATCTTTTTTCGACATCGAAAAGACGTCTTTTTTTATCTTAATCTTGTTATGAAAACACATAAAAAATGCGCCTTTAAGACGCCTTTTTTTAGTCGAATATGCAAATCTAAAAAAAGTGTTTTTTCTCGGAGTCAAAACGACTTTTTTGCCATACTTATTAGTATACTATAGTATCCTATACACTATAGTATTCCTACTTTTCTCATATAAAAAGTTTTTTTTTTCAAATAAAAATGATAATAGCTCTTCATACAAAGTATGACAAAAAGCTTTTTCCAATGCCGAGAAAAAAACCTCTTTTAGATGTCAATATAAAAGAGGAAGCATTTTCTACGTCTTTTATATATTTAAATATAGGAGAATAATTTATAAATAAAACAATAGCATTGTTCAACAGAATATTTTTTCATCTTTCTCTTTCTTTTCTGTTTCTTGAGCGAGCTCTGTTTCTTGGCGTTGTTCAATAAAATTAACAATTTCACGTCGAGAAATCTTTTCATACGAGCAGGTTACGACTTCTAGCTGGTTACCACTTCTAAAAATCAAGTAAACATAAAAAACAGCTTATTGCTTAAATGTAATACAAAAAAAAGCAAACAAAACTTGATTAGTTGAGTGGAGAACATTATACTTACCGACTATTAATTCAAAAAGGGCTGATCCTTTTAATCCACTCATGTTTCCAGCATAGTCCCTTCTTTTTGAACCCACTAGGTTAGATTGGAACAGGAGTCAAAAGGTAAACAGTCTAAAAATATATAAAAATGAGTGTGCTAAATAAATTTACAACCGTCAAAATGACTGTACAACGATGTATTTTATTATGTAGTACTTAAATCAAGCTAAACATTTGTACCTCTCAGATTTGCTATGGAAACCAAGTTATTGAAAACAGATTTTGATATTTTTCTGTCTTCTATAGCATGATTTTTTAATTGAATTTCCGAAATTGTTGTAGATTCAGAACAATTTAAAAATCTATTGTTGACTATCAAAACAAAAAGATAATTCAGCTAATACACCTTGAGAGTTGTTATTCATTTAAACTAGAAAAAAGTATTAGTCAAAGCTCTATTTTAGCCTGAAACATAAGGATGCTTTACTTAACAACATAGATATAAAAAAGTGTACCTTTCCAGTATCATTTTCACTTGGTTTTTTGTATCTAAACCAAAAAATTTGCGAACATTTCTAAAGATAAATCTGTTGTCATTATGTGTATTTTTATAATTGCTTTATTAATGACAGACAACAGTTAACAAGGAAATAACATATTTAACATAAAAGTTAAAGAGCCAATCTTTTGTATAAACAATTTCATCATTCAACTAAATAAAAACAACAAAATTATACCGATCATTTGAAAATATATTTAAAAAAAATTGCAAGCCTACTGAATGCTTCTTTTTTTCTATCGTTTGTTTCACTGGCACTTGAACAAGTAAATATAGAAAGAAATTGTTTACAGGTTTTATTTTTCGTCTGATAATAAATATTATAATTTAATATGTAATAAACAACGTTCTTAAAGCACAATACATTAGAAAATTAATTAGGACTTAATTAAGACTAGATCATATCGATACCATCTTACTGGCACCACGCCATCCACTTTTGCTTCTTCCGATTAACATTTTTTAGCTAAGCAGCTGCAATTGTGTATTTATTTCAGTATATATATATATATATATATATATATATATATATATATATATATATATACTATAACATGTATATGCATTTATATTATGTATATTTTACATAATATATTATTTTATTATATAAGTTATTAAATAAACCCGCTTACCGAAAAAAGTTATTTTTTAATTAAATTTCCTATGCAAAATTGTTTCACATAAAAGTTATATAAAAGTATTTTGTAAACAAAAAACGGGCCAATCAGAATGTAACAAAGATATCGTAATTACGATACTGTGGGTTAAAACTCATTTTTGTTAGGTTCTATTGGCAATAATTATTTTTAATTTTCTTAAGCAAATAATGATTTTCTTATTAACAACCGATTGACGTCTTTTCGACCTCTTTTCTGAAAACGTCTTTTTAAAAGACGTCTTTCCACGTCTTTATTTTGGCTGATTATAAAAAGACATAACAAGTCATAAAAAAGACGCCTTTTATTCGTTTAAAGGTGTCTTTTTTCCCACTGGGTATATATATATATACATATATGTGTAGACTTTTGCTAATATATTTGATGGTTTCTATTTAGTATTATTAAATAATGTTATACACACTTACAATTAATAAAGATGAATAATAGTATATCAACACTGTATATATATATATATATATATATATATATATATATATATATATATATATATATATATATATATATATATATATATATATATATATATATAAATATATATATATATGTTTATATATATATATATATATGTTTATATATATATATATATATAAACATATATATATATATATATATATATATATATATATATATATATATATATATATGTATATATATATATATATATATATATATATGTTTATATATAAAATATAATGCATAATATATATATATATATATATATATATATATATATATATACATATATATATATATATATATATATATATATATATATATATATATATATATATATATATATATATATATATATATATATATATATTATGCATTATATTTTATATATAAACATTTAATATACAAAAATTTATATTAAAATATGTGTTTTAAAATACATTTTTTATATATAAATATATATGTATATATATTTTTGATATATTTATTTACACACACACACACACACACACACACACACACACACACACACACACACACACACACACACACACACACACTCACACTCACACTCACATATGTAATTGATGTATCCAATAATGTATAATTAATTCATAATTGATGTTGATGTATAATTAAAATTATATAAATGTATTATCTAATGTATAATATGTTTTAAACATCAATAAATATCACAAATTTTTTACTTTAATATTAAGATGATATTTTTATAAGTTTTAAACTTGAATCATATAAGTATGATAAGCTTGTAAATTTCTTAATGGAATTATTATTGTTACTGTTTATAGATTTTGAAAACTATTCCATTAAATGAATGGTCTATTTCTATAAGTATTTCATATGATGGTAATTTTCTTGCTGCTGGTTTTTCAAGTAAGCTCTTTTTTGTACACAAAAATAATATATTGAATTATTTAGTTCAACAGCTTGTAAGGTTTATTTGATCAAATATTTTATTCAATTTGATAATTAATTTATTTTTTCTAATTGTTTTATGAAGTTTTATTTTTTAAATCGAAATCAAATATTGATTTAAAAGCACATTGTCAAACAACTGTGTTTAAAAATTGTATTTAAAAGTTGTGTGTTTAAAAATTGTGTATTTAAAAAGTTTATATAAAAATTAAAGCAACAATGAACAATTAAATTATTCAATGTTTTTGTTTTTGAAAAATGATTTCAATCTATAAAAATCAATGGTTTTTTATGTTTTCAATTTAACAGCAGTATTTATAGAGTCCCAAATATAAGAAATAATTGTTATTTAATAATCTAATTATTTCTCTTATGTATTAGAGATAACTATAATCTATCTAATTTACTCTCATATATTGGTCTAATCTTATTACCTCACCCAAAGGTAAAACAAAATTATTTGTGTGAATTTAGTGACAACACTCTTTTTGAAAATCTAGAAAAACTTGTTAATCCTTTGTGATTAACTTTCCTGTCACAATCTTGCAAATGTGTTTTCTAACACTTTTGGCATTATTAGAAAACAATGTATTTTGTAATTCTTTTTTTTTTTTTTTTTTTTTTTTTTTTATACATCACTTCCAACAAGGCTGCAAGTATCCACTCTTCAAGTTGGAAGTGACTGGAAAAGAAAGAATAAGTTTATAAAGCAAGATAATGATTAGCAGGCGACAGGTTGCAAATTATACAAATCAGGAAAAAAATTGATGGTCGCGAAAAAAAACTTGACAAATAAGAATTTTTGGAGCACTTAAAAACAGTCAGGGTAAAAGAGACTTAGTTAAATGATGAGTAACACAATAATGAATTTTAGTAGATGACATAAAAGACTCTAGTTCTTTAGAATAGCGCCCATTATAGTATTTATATAAAAGAGAAAGAGAAGCAACATTACAATGCATAAAATGCATTTTTGCACCTTGTCTAAAAGAGAAAGCATCATTCCAAGATCTGCTTCAGATATGGTAACAGTATCCCATACAAGGACGGATTTGAGATTTATAGAGATCATTAATAGGAGTAAGATAGTAGCAAGCATGATAAAGAGATGCTACCTTAATGATAAATGATGTAACATTAGCAGGTTCTAATTTTGCAATGGATTTTATATATGGTTTCCAAGAAAGATTGGAAGTAAGAGTTAATCCTAGAATAACTTATTGATTGCATTACTGTTCAAAAATATAGGAAGATCTAGATTGTTGGAATAACAATATGCTGAAAAAAATTGAGTTTTATCTGAGTTAAAGTTCACCATCCATTGAGGGCCCCATGTTGTAGTAGAAGTGACATCTTTTTCAAGCTCAAATGCCTTGTCCAAGCAGTCAGAAATTTTGGGAGGTCATTAATATAAAAGTGTGCGGCCAAGGATAGAACTTTGAGGAACCCCTGAGAAACCAATTTACAGGAAATGAAAAAGAGTGCTGTTCATCAAGTACAACTTTTATTTGAAGGTATCAATAGTCTTGAAGATGTTACCTGATTCACTGTAAGAAGATAGCTTTTAGAGAAGACCAGCATGCCAAGCTTTATCAAAGGTTTTAGAAATGTTGAAAACGATAGCCTTCCTATATAGGTTTCTATATAGCCTTTCTATATAGGTTTTATGCATTAGATACATGTGAAGATATAACCTCTGCACATGTATCTAATGCATGATAAAACCTATCAGTTATTACCATTAAGAGATTAAGTTTTTGTTAATTTAAGACTCAATAACCTTGCTTATGGTAGGAAGAAGATTAATAGGGACAGTAGAAAAGTCAGATTGGTCTCCAGAATTTTTGAAAATAGAGATAAAATAATTCTAGAAATTTCTTTAAAATATTGTCTAACCATTCTTCTTACCATTGTTAGAATTTTCTTAAGCATCTTCTCTCACCCAGCAAGTTTTCTGAGTCTTTAATCAACATGCTTCTAATATGTCAACTACAAGTTTTTCGAGTCTTTAATTAACATAGAGCATCCTAGACCTTTTAATAGAGCATACTGGACCTTTTAATAGAGCATACTGGACATTTTAATAGAGTATGCTGGACCTTTTAATAGAGCATGCTGGACCCTCTAATAGAACATACTGGAACTTTTAATGGAGCATGCTGGACCTTTAAGTAGAGCTTGCTGGATCTTTTAATAGAGCATGCTGGACCTTTTAATAGAGCATGCTGGACCTTTTAATAGAGCATACTGGACCTTTTAATAGAGCATGCCGAACCCTTTGATAGAGCATCTTGGACATCTCCATAAAATCTTCATATGGTGAGATGGAAAAGTTTTTAAAGTTATTAAATATTTTTTTCTTAAAAAAAAAATATTTAATAAAATTTAATCACAGTATTACCAAAACATTTTTATTTGAAATAATGTTGAACACTAGACTTATATGAAATAATGTTGAGCACTAGACTGCTTAGTTTAAAAGTGGTAGAAAAGTTGTTAATAATTCTCTCTAAGATTCCATAAAAATTTCTCTAAGATTCCATTAACAGCTGTAAAGTAGCACAGATTGCAGTTCAATTACTAGTTATTATTTTAGTATTTATTTGATTTGATTTATTTATTATTGTTAAGTTTATAACTTAATGTCCACTTGTGATGCACTTTCATTTATAAAATATTTCTTATTTTTCTTGAATAATATTTTTATTGAGTATATCTTTATTATTCATACTTATTATAATTTCTACTTTAATTATAACTTTAATTATTTAAAGTTATCTGAATATAAATCTTATAACTAATTTTTAGTATTTCATAAATAAAAAATTTTCCAATATTCTTTTCTAATTTCAACATTTTCAAATTTCATTTTCTATTCTTATTAACTTTTTATTTTATTTTTTTTTAGTCTTTTACTTTTTTTACGATTTGCTTTTTACATTTTATTTCTAAATTTAAATATATAATGATTTATTATTTTGCTTGAACTTTTCTACAACTCGTGATCAAGACAACATTTTTGATAGGCATAATGGTAGATTTTAAGATGGTGTTTCCTGTTTAAGTAATCCTGGAAGTTTATAAATGTTCTTTTTTTACTATTATTATTCAACTCCCTAAAAATGAAAGGGTTACTACAGTCAAAGAAGTTACTTTTTTTTTTCCATAAGTTGTAATAATAAAATAATAAAACATTACTTGCAATTCTTGTATCTTTTAACACATTAACATCCTTAAGAATTAAAGATCAAGCTATCAATAAAAAGGATATAGGTACTTACGTGTATGTGTATATATATATATGTGTGTGTGTGTGTGTGTATATATATATATATATATATATATATATATATATATATATATATATATATATATATATATATATTTTATATATATATATATATATATATATATATATATATATATATATATATATATATATATATATATATATATATATATATATAACCAATCATAATATATAACTAATAATGTAAACTTTTAAATCTTTTTGTAAATGTGTCAAATAATAGCGTTTGATCCTACTGGAGCAAATAACCTGTAGGAAACCAAGGTAATGGAGGATTGCTTTCAGAGGAAGAAATCAAACTTAATTATGCAATATAAAAAGTTCCCCCCTCCTTTCTCCGGGCCCCTGCCATGCCTGGGCCCCACTATAAATTCAGATGCAAAACTAAAACACATAAAAATACAAATTAAACATAACTATTTACTGTTTATATGCATTAATTTTTCAAAGACAGTTTAATAAATATAGTAATTCTTCGATTAAAATAGGAAATATTTAATAAAATATACAAAGACATGGTAAAGCGGTTTAAGATTATTATTTATTAAAGGTAGAGTAAATTATCTTGAGTAAAAGACTAAAAAATCAATTTATTATATTACTGGCTTTATTATTATAAGCCAGTATAATTTATTATTATACTGGCTTATAATAATAGAGAAGGTCAGGAATATTTAATGGGGCTGGAGTTTTTATTATTTAAAATATTATTGTTTCTTTGTAAACATTTTATTTCAGTTTTTTGTATAAATAAAAAACTTATATATATTCATAAAAAATCATTTTTTAAGAAAAAAGTTTTTTAAGAAAATTTTTTTATTTGTAATTTAAAAATATTTATAATTATTATATTTATAATAATTATTTATATTATAATAAAATAAAATGTATAACATGTTAAAAAACTAAAATTAAAACCTTTGATTATTAACTTTGTGTTATTGGTTATGTCTGTAAACAATAAAATACAAAACATGGTCGCTGCATGCAGCAATCATGATTATGTTTTGATTCCTTAAAAATGGTAACATTGCTGCTTGCAGCACCATTTTTAATTCTGGTATATATTTTCTATGTATAAAATTTATTCCTAATATATTATAATTTAAGTTAATATAATCTTTATTTGAATTCTAATAAATAAATATTTCATTGAATACAATATAGCCATCAAATGTGTTAGACTTTAATGAAAAATGTGTATATAACCGAGATGTGAACAAGTCCAAAGATATCATGTTCCACTTCCGCTGAGAATAAAAAAGGAATTGATCACCTGTTCGCAGCTAAGAATAAGAAAAGAATTAATCACCTGTTCGCAGCTGATAATAAGAAAGGATTTGATTACCTGTTTGCAGCTGAGAATAAAAAAGGAATTAATCACCTGTTTAACAGTTAAAGAAAAAGTGAAGTGGAACAAGAATGGCTTCTTTTAAATATAGTAATTATTTTGTTTATTGGAAAGTTAGGCATTGTTTATCAGGGTAAACATAAATGAGTTTGAAAAACAAAGACCGTTTTAAAGGAAATGATGTTTTTATTTCAAGGGATATTGCTTGTCTGAATCCTCAAAATTTTCCATCTTAGCGTTACCATAGAGGCAGCATATATTTTCATGATTTAGACTCGTACACAGAGGAAAACACTGTGCCCAAAAATGACATCATTTGCAACTAAATTTCCACTAGTTAGTAAGGTCGATGAAATTGAATCAGAGATATACTCCTCAGAAAAAGATTGCATCAGATGTTGGAGTTGCGATCTTCGTTTTCTACATTAAGGTTGTTTAGCATATTCTAATGTGTATATTGCATATAAAATGGCAATATGTCTACCTTGCACACATGTCAAGCGTGAGCAAACTTTTTCGAAACTTTTTTAGCATGGCAATAATGTGCAAAAATTAAGGTAGTACGACACTGTAATTTAGAATTGCTGTATTTTTATAATCTCGCATATGAGTGCATTTTTTTAAACGTGCCAAATAAATCGATAGAGTGCATGGTTAAAGATATGGAAATTTGCTTGCACATTATTAGAAACTTCCTATACCCTTAAAACAAAAAAAAACTATGTATAAACTAAAGGTTTAGTTTATATTTGCTAAATTTTTTGGTACCTAAACGGCCCCATCTACGTCCCCCCCTCCGCCTCCCGCTTCTTAGTGTCAGTCGGACCCTGCATCTCCGAGCAAAACATAAAAAAATGTTAAGGGTAACAGAGATGGACATTTATGCTTACGGAGATAAACAAATTTGAAATTTTTTATTAAACTCTTTGGCAATAGAAAAATAAGTTACATCCACTGTCTTTATGCAGCTCCTACACCCCCTGTCTTTAAGCAGGTCTTGCACCCCCTATTTTGACCGTTGGCCTAGGTTTGTCTCTCAAAATAATCTGCAAGTCTTGAAGCAGCTTTACAGCTAAAAATCATATAATAAAAAATACTACTAACAGTTTATATTTAGAAATTCAGCTTTGAAAAAAATTTACAAAAACTTTACTCTAGATGAATTATTTTCTATTTAAATTTTATTATTATTATTACTATTATTTTCGCTTTCCAACCTTTTCATAGTAGGCTTAGGTATTAAATTATTATAATATTTCCGGTTATTTTTGTTAATAACGTACAAAGAGTGGTGTATAAAAAACATGTGATTAGATATGAGTTGTTTTATCTTTAAATTAAAATATCCTGAAAATTATGTTGGTTATTTTCAAAATTTAATACAACACAAAATATTTTTTATTTTAAAAAATAAAAAATATTTTGTGTTGTATTATATTTTGAAAACATTGTTTTATAAAATTCAGTATTTAAACCATTAGCATATTTTTTTAATGCTAAGATCTGTAATTAAAAAACTTTATGAATTAAAAATCTTTTGTTCAGTTTCTTGGTTTTAATATTTCTTAATATCTTCGTATTAAAGATTTCAAATTCGAGATTCGTATCATAGATTTCAAACTTTTCTTTATAAATTTTTTATCTCCCTTGCACGCAACATTAATTGTGTGTGTGTATGTATGTATGTATGTATGTAGGTATGTATGTATGTGTATATATATATATATATATATATATATATATATATATATATATATATATATATATATATATATATATATATATATATATATATATATATATATATATGTATTCGATATAAGTTAAATTCATGTAAAAAAAAATGGATATAATAATATAGTTGCGTGATTTGATTTATTTTTTTTTAGATCGCATTTTAAAACTTATTGACACAGAACAAGGCACCTTTCAAGATTTTGTTGGTCATTCTGGCGCGGTTGCAAACGTGAAATTTGCTTATAATACGCTTTTGACTAACGCTCACACTGAGCTTTTTATTTGGAAATTATTGATATGACGTATTAATTAGGATTGTAATTTATTATATGTATTTATTTATAAATATTAGATATATAAATAATTTATTTGTTTACGACATTTTATCCTTGAATGTCGACATATTCAAAAAATAAATATGTGTTACGTTGTTTGTTGCTACTTTTTCTTTTCTTTTGCAAGTTTTAACACTGTTGCTTTAACTATGATTCTCAACACTCTTGAAACAGCTCGTTCGTGAAACAGCTCGTTCGTGAAACAGCACGTTCGTGAAACAGCTCGTTCGTGAAACAGCTCGTTCGTGAAACAGCTCGTTCGTGAAACAGCTCGTTCGTGAAACAGCTCGTTCGTGAAACAGCTCGTTCGTGAAACAGCTCGTTCGTGAAACAGCTCGTTCGTGAAACAGCTCGTTAGCGTTCGTGTTGATCAACCTATTATGCAAAATGCTTTTTAAAATTTGTGTAAATTTGTTCTTAGATACTAGTAAATGTGTGTGTGTGAGAACGGTGGTGGTGCAAGTTGAAAAAACCTCTAAAAACTAATAAACAGGGGGTCTTAATAATCGAGAGAGTTAGTTATAAAAAAGTTTACTATAAGCTAGAAACAACAAAGTAATCTTTATTCAAAATGCTAAATATTTTGATAAGTTTTCAAATAGGTTTTTAAAATAAGCAACAAAACATTTCTTTTCTGAAAACAAAATGTTTTTAGGTTGCTTTCACGCACTTTCATCTTTAATTTTATCTGAGACATGTTAGTTAATGTGTTGACGTAACAAGTTAGTTTTGTCTGCGCAATTAACGCTTGGAAAAAAAAACACTTTTTTTTCTCAAAGAAAAAAAATGCGAAACCATCCTACACTCCTTATAAGTTAATAAACGGAGGGAAAAGATTTTGCTAAGCTCTGCTGGGATCAGAAGAAAACAAAAATTTGCTTAGTGTCCCCGCCTGTTTATTAGGCAACTGATAGTAATTGCTTGCATATTTACAGAAAATTATAACACAAAATTAAAAAATTTATAGCACACACATAATGTTGAATGCGTGTCTTTTATATTTACGGCATGTTTTATATTTACGAAATTTAATTGAGGTGGCTTAAATCCACAAGGTTTTTAATCGTACTTAAAAATCGTGATACTTTATCGGGATTAAAATCTGCAACATTTTATCGTGCCTTAAAACATGTCACATTTAAAAAATTATCCTGCGTCATAGTTTGGATTGTGTCACATCAAAAAAAAAATGAACTGTATACTTTAAAAATAAGGCGACTTAAGTGTCCTTACTTACCACTGAGACAAACTGTAGAAGTAATTATATATATATATATATATATATATATATATATATATATATATATATATATATATATATATATATATATATATATATATATATATATATATATATATATATATATATATATATATATATATACAGTTTGTCTCAATGGTCCAAAATTAAAACTACTTTTTTATATTATAGTGCGACTAAGTCACATCAATATTCTTAATGCACCATATATATATATATATATATATATATATATATATATATATATATATATATATATATATATATATATATATATATATATATATATATGTGTGTGTGTGTGTGTGTGTGTGTGTTTTTATGGAATATTTTTTTGTTTTTTGCACAAAAATAAGATGAAATCTTGTTCGATTAATATTGGGCTAAATAATTGAAAGCACGTGTCAGTTTACAGAACCTAGCGATAAGACAAGTATTGTCTTTTTTTCATGTAATTACTATTTATATTACACGTAATTATAATGTATTATAATAATTGAAATACAATATCATTTATATTGCCCGTCATGTAATTATAATTTATGTTACACAAAATTGAATATATATTTTACAGACAAAAGAAAACCAATAAAAAAATTGGATGATTGAGATGAATAGTAAATGGGTTGGGATGAGGGGTGGCTTTTTAAAAAAAGTTTCAAAATATAAAAAAATTTCATATTTTTATATTCTATTATAAGAAAGTTTAAAATTTTTTTCAAGAGATTTTTTTATCCTACAATCAGAATATTTGCTCTACAATGTTTTTTATAACTAAAAGTTTAAATGAAGTCTTGACCAACTTTAACAGCCCTGTTTCTGCGGTTTTACAAAAAGAAGCGAAATTTTAAACTTAGTATGAATCGGACTCTCCAGTTTTAATATTAGATTCTCAGACAACTTGTCTCGTGTAAAATTATTTTAATAATTCAAAGAAAAACTAAGCTTTTTAGTCACAGTAGGATTCTAATTTTTTTTTATTGTAATTTAGTCAATAAATATTTCTGAATACATCTGTTAAACTCCTTTGCTCTAGTGTTTTATCCAATTTAAAAACTAATCGGTTTCAATTTAAAAGCTAATATCAGTTAAAATCAACATATATTTTCTAAGCAATTTTTTTTAGGGGAATTAATTTTTTTAGTAAATAATTTATTATTATTCTCTTGCAAGAAGAAGCAAGAGAATAATAATAAATTTATTTTAAAAAAATTTTTTTCATTTATTTATTAAAAATCTTTTTTAATAGCATAAAAGCGCTAAAAGATTTTGCAAACATTGGTATAAGTACAAATTGTAATAAGTGCAAAATGGCATAAGTGTGAAGCAATTGTAAAAACTGGCACAGGTGCAAACTAGCATAAGTCCGCAAACTAACAACAGTGGTGCACTTGCCTCAGAAACAAAGGATCCGTGGTTCAAACCAACCTCTGGGAAATTTATGCGACATCGGTTCGGAAGGAGGCATGAATTCCAATTAAATGCTCATCCATTCGAATTAAATGCTCATCCGCGGTGCTTTGTGATAAGACCGTAAGGGACTTCTTGGGGCACCTAAATTAAATAAGCATAAGTGCGCCGAATAAATTTGCAAACATTGCCATAAGTGCGAATTCGCATAAGTGCGAATTGGTATAAATACGAAGCAGGGACAAAAACTGGCATAAGTGCAAACTGGCATAACTGCGAATTAATATAAGTGCACCGAAAAAAATTGCAAATATTGACATAAGTGCAAATTGGTATTTCACACTTATGCCAACTCGCACTTATGCCAATTCGCACTTATATCAATTTGCACTTATGTCAATGTTTGCAAATTTTTTTGGCGTACTTATGGTAATTTCCACTTATGCCAGTTTACACTTGTGCCAGTTTTTGTAACTGCTTCGCACTTATGTCAGTTCGCACTTATGACAGTTCGCACTTCCGCCAGTTCACACTTACGCCATTCGCACTCATGCCAGTTCGCACTTATAAAATATAAAAATAATACAAATAAAAAATCCTAAAATACATTGCTTATAAATAATAATAGAATAATTTCAAATATTTCAAACTTTTAACCTTGAAATACATTGCATAGAAATAATACAGAAGACTAGTTCCTCTTCAAAAAACTGTTTTGGCCATGAATACTTTTTATTGATATGTGTTAATTGTTCAGTGTGTTTCCTCGTAATGCAAATGCAACAAAGTGAAATTTAAATACACAAATGTAAAAACAAAACATAAATTGAAGATAATGAACAATACTTGAGTTTTGCAGAGTAAAATATTAGAACGCGAATTAAAATTATAATGGAAAGTGATGTACATAACATTTCACAGCAAGAAGTTTCAAATCTTTTTCATGAGAGTTTTACACCGTTTTTAGAAGAAAAAAAGAACCCAGATCTTTCTTTGATTATGCCACCAGACCAGGAATATTGCTTACATAAAAATCTTCAAAATGATCCCAAATAATTGCCAAAATTTTACCAACTTTTACAACAACAATATCTATTGGTAACTTTTGCCTGTTGCGAGATCTTATTAAATGCAAATGCGTCTAAAACAATTTATACCAATAGCACTAGTTACACTGTGGTAAGTTACAGGTTGCTAAATCACTAGTTTTTTTAGACTAGGCCTTATTGGTAATTTAGGATACTCTATAAAGTATCATACCTTGTTTTGTCTTGTTTTAAAATGACGCGCGCGACAAATTATTTCTTTTCGTTTAACCAAAACTGGTTGTTTTCATTTTATAAAGTAATGGTATGAATAACAAAGTGAAGCTAATGTGTATAAAGGATATAAAAGTGTAGTGACGTAATTTAAATTTAGTTTATAATTATAAAAATTTTTATGATCAAATTATGTTTTTTTAGATTATAAACGTTTCTATAGAAATTTGTTAGGATTATTAAAAAAAGAGAGAGTCGAGAAAAACGAGAACATCGAATTGAACAGAGTATTTAGTTTAAAAACCTAAAACAATTTTAAAATTTTGGATAAATATGATAACGTGAAGCGTAATGAAAATATTTTTTGTTTTGTTTTAAATTACTTTATTAGGTTGATTTTTTTGATAATTAAAAGCACATTTTATATATTTTATATATTTTTAAAAAAATTCTTTATTGTTTATAGCTTCAGTTTTTAAAACTTCACTTTCAAAACTTTTATATTAAGGTCTAGTGATATTTTGTGTTTAAGGCAGCAACAACAAAATGCCGTAGTAGTACTAGTAGTATCGTGTACTAGTGTTGTTAATACTTGCAAATTAGTTTACATCATAATAAATAACATTAAAAAATGTTTTTATTTTAATGAATATCCCGTATGAGTATCCCAAATTCTTTCCAATCTATTATTCTTTGTTTTCTAATAGACAACATATCATTTCAAGCAGTGGGCGTTACGTTAAAAAAAAATTTGTTTGTTGCTTAGGTAATTAAACTACCTGTCAACTTTTGTTGATTGGTTGATTAACCTATGGTTGTTAAAAGCTTTCAAACACAATTAGTTAAGACTTAATTTAATCTGAATGTTTTTAAACTGATAATCTGTACTTGGCTAATTTGTATCTATACTTGGCTAATTTGTATAAAGAATTTTTTTAAATTTCTTTTTTTAAGATAACAAAAAAAGTAGAATGTTATAAAAATTGAGTTCATTGACAGATTTCAAACTTTAATCATTGAACCCTTGGTGTCTGAAAATTTTTTTATTATTATTTTAAGTTAATTTAACACAATAATGTCTAAGTATTCAAAATTTCTGACTGTAGAAAGTTCAATTCCCCTTCTATTTAAAAATTTTGAAAATAATTTAGTAATTTAGTAAAATTAAAACTAAATAGTCGTTTTAAGTTTAATTGATTAAAAACTCTCGTTGATTAAAAACTCATATCTCGTTTAGTTGATTAAAAACTCATATCTCGTTTAGTTGATTAAAAACTCATATCTCGTTGAGTTGATTAAAAACTCATACCTCGTTTATTAAAAACTCATATCTCGTTGATTAAAAACTCATATCTCGTTGATTAAAAACTCATATCTCGTTGATTAAAAACTCATATCTCGTTTAGTTGATTAAAAACTCATATCTCGTTGATTAAAAACTCATATCTCGTTTAGTTGATTAAAAACTCATATCTCGTTTAGTTGATTAAAAACTCATATCTCGTTTAGTTGATTAAAAACTCATATCTCGTTTAGTTGATTAAAAACTCATATCTCGTTGATTAAAAACTCATATCTCGTTGATTAAAAACTCATATCTCGTTGATTAAAAACTCATATCTCGTTTAGTTGATTAAAAACTCATATCTCGTTGATTAAAAACTCATATCTCGTTTAGTTGATTAAAAACTCATATCTCGTTTAGTTGATTAAAAACTCATATCTCGTTTAGTTGATTAAAAACTCATATCTCGTTTAGTTGATTAAAAACTCATATCTCGTTTAGTTGATTAAAAACTCATATCTCGTTGATTAAAAACTCATATCTCGTTTAGTTGATTAAAAACTCATATCTCGTTTAGTTGATTAAAAACTCATATCTCGTTTATATATTAGTATTACAATTTTTTACATAGCATTCTCATTCGACTTAAATAAATTCACATAAATTCGGAATTTGTTTCATATTTACAAATCAATCTCAAACACCAAAAAAATATACTCTAATTTTATATTTTGTTATTCAAAATTTTGATTTTAATTAATACTATAATAAAAATATTATTTTATAAATACTTTTATAAATAAATATTGTTTTATAAAAACTTTTATAAATACTTTTATAAAAGTTATACTTTTCACGACACATTTCATCACAAGATTGTTTCATTTTTACAGACAGAAAATTGTTGGTATGCTGCATACTTATGTTTTATCTTTTCTTTTTTTTCTTAGTTGCACGCAAGAAATGAAAACGTAAGCACATCAACATACCTAACATTTTATCGCGCATCTAAAAAATGCTGTAGACTAGACGTATTTTAAAAGAAATAATAACATTAGCGTTTAGTTACATTAATTGAACAATCACAAAACTTATATGAACAAAGAAAATAAAAAACAAGAAATATGTTGCATATAGTTGAAGATAATTGACACTAATACATTTAATAATTACTAATTAACAATATACAAAAAATATTGAATTTAACAAATAAAAATATTATTATAAAATATAATAATCAATAAGACTTAAGAAAAAAATGACGAATGTTTGTTATTGAGAAATTTCTTATCATATAAATATATTCTAAAGAATACCTCATTAATAGCCATCAACACTACCGTAATACCTTAAATGGAAAAAACAATAATATACTTAAGTAACAATCGAAGTTAATTATTCATTAATTTATATTTTAGACACGGTTTTCTTTGGCGTTTTTGTTTCAAAGTACAAAAAAAGTTGCTAAATAAAAATAGAATTGCTCAATTTATTGGTTATTATTGGTTGAGTATTTCGTGATAAACAATGAATAAATGTGTACTTATTTTTTCTCTGAGCTTTATTACTGGAAATCATCTGTATTGTATTAACAACACCAAACATACAGTGGCAACTGCGTTATTGTTAAATGGTTACTCAAGTTTATATGAACTTTTTAGTCAAATTGGATTGTTTAATGTGCTTTTTGATAAAGAACCATATATAATATTTATACCGCATAATAGTGCTGTTAAAGAGTTTCAAAAGATGACCTTTAGTCAAAAAAAAGAAACCGCTGAAAATTTAATATTCAATAATTTTCAAAATATATCATCATTCAAAGATGGTCAAAGGCTAGAAAATTTAAAAAATAAAACATTTTTTATAAACAAACATGTAAATAAGTTTACATCTATTCCTCGTCTGTGGTTGCAAGGCGCTAAGTTAGGTCGCTCAAGCATTCTTACTCAAAAATCCATACTTTATGAAATAAACCACATTCCAGTTTTACAGTCACTTACCTTAGAAACATATTTAAAAAATTCTGGAAGGCATAGCTTTATGTTTGGCTTGCTTGAGAAATATAAAGCTTATTTCACATTCTTTTACGGGGCAACGTTTTTTTTGCCATTAGACGAATCGATTAAAACTATGCCGTCAAAATATAAAAATCAAATATTTAATGACGATGTTAAGTCTATGGTAAGATTTTTTAAACTTAGTTTACATAAAAGTTTTTTAAACTTTTTTTACATAAAAGTTTTTGATGTGAAACAACAAGCTCAAAAATTTTCATGATTCAAAAAATAACTATTTTGCTAAACTTTTAATCAATGAAACGATGATTTTTTAAATAAATTAATTAAATTATAAACCTATTTAAAGCTTTTTTCCAAGGTTTATTTTATGTTAATTTTTATCTTTTTTTACAAACTATTATGACAATTATTATATCGACAATTAATTCATTTTCAATAAAAATTTTATTGCTTAGTTATCTATCAGTTAACTTTTCTAGAATTTTATCCGTGGTCACATCATAAATCAACCAATGTGTAGTCAGAGACTGCTCATAAATTCAGGTGGAAATACTTTTACAAACGACATCGGACAACCACTCATAGTGCATCAAGATCATTATAATAAAAAATCCTTTTACGTTAATGGTATACCAGTTATATCAACAACTTCATTAACTAATGGATGGGCGTATGTTATTGATGGCGTTATACTATCAGAAATAAGTAAGCTTTTATTTACTAAACTTATTTAAATAGCAAATAGTTATTATAAAATAAAAAATACTGTTATTATTGGTCATCTTCTCGTTTGACGGCTAACTTGGCTCTACACTTGTCAAGTACTTTTCCTAATGCTCTTAGTGTTAATACTTTCACTAACATGTGGCGTAACAAGATGTGACAACATTAGATGGGTAACCTGACAAACTTTTGACTTTTTGATTATTATAACTTAAGCAGTGAGTGATGCAAATTCCTTCGGTCCTTTTTGCAGTTACTCTGCAAGAAAGAGAAGGAAAACAGTCTAAACTCAATAACCAAAAATTTTGAGGTGTCATTGAGGCCGAAAAATTTAGTTTTTTTTTTTTAATTTTTTTTTTTTTTTAATTTTTTTTTTTTTTAATTTTTTTTTTTTTTTTTTTACAGCTAATAATTTGTTGGAAAGTTTACCGCTTCTTCAGTGCCACACATTCCTTCAATACCTAATTAAGACAGGGCATGCAAAGCAATTACAAAGTGAAACAACTCCACACACTTTGTTTGTTCCAACAGACCAAGTTTTTGAAAGATTGAATAAAGAGATTAAAAAAAAACTTGATTCAGATGATAAATATTTGATGACTTTTATGAAACATCACTTTCTAAAGGGTAAATACATTAGTGAACAATTTGATGGCAACAGCGCAATAGAAACAACCGCGATTGTCAATCAAACTTACCTCAAACTTCATTTGCAGACTTATGGAGAGGTAACTTTAGGTTTATATCATTTTAATAATTACTGTTTATATACTGTTAATAGTTTTTTAAAATTTTATTACATTACCGGACCACTACATCCTTATCATCCAAGTTTCCTTGTAGTTGGGGTGTTAGATGGTGTTTTAGCTTGGGTGTTATGCAAATAATTTCCAATACAATTGTTTTTAACGAAAAGAAAACAAGTATTTTTTAAAAAAAGATTAAATTAAGTTTTTTCAATTAAAACAAGAAAGTTTTATTATTCAGAAAGAAACAATAGCTTTTGGGTTAGTAAATAACATTAAGAAAAAAAAAATTATATTTTTTTGTAAAAATTCATATTTTTCATTTTTAGTTAAAAATGTCTTTTTCTAGGAAATCAAAAATAGTATTTTTTTATTCAAGTATGATTATTTTAAAAATCTTTATTAAATTTAGCTTCTTTTAAGACCCAACATGATATACTTTTAAAGAACTTTTTTTTTTTAATAATTGCTTAAAATTTCAAGACCCTTAAAGATCAGACCCGTCTGATGTTTAAGGTTCTTGATCTACCCCTAAAAATATTTTTGATTTTTTTGAAATTTTTTTTAATTCCAGTATTATTTTACTATATAGAACACATTTAGATGGTGAGAACAGACATTTTTAAAAAAAGTTGTTTTAATAGCCAACCTTATAAACAATTTTGACATGGAAACTAGAGTGAGAAAACTAAAAGTTCTCTAACTTAATAGGACATTAACTTAAATTAAAACATTTTTAGTACATTTTTTCCTAAATAATTCTCTGGCAGGTCTTGGGTAAAAGTCTTTTACAATATTGGTTCAAACGTGGTTCAAACTCCACTCTCTGGGCAAGTTTAGCGACATCGGTTGGGAAGGGAGGCGTGAACTTCCTATTAAATACTCCTCCGCGGTGCTCTGTGATAATATTGTAAAGACTTCTTAGAGCACCTAAAATAATAATAAAAAATAAAAAAAAATTTTTTTTTGAAGACGTCTTAAAGACCTTTTAATTTGATCAAGATAATTTTTCAAAAGCTTTATTGAACGTTTGTTCAATGATTTACAAATTATAATTTTTAAATTGATATGATTTAGACATGGAAAGGTAACAAGAGAGCTAAATATATATATAAAGCATAACTAAATTTTATATAAAAAATTATAAAACATTATATATAATGTTTTATAATTTTTATACAAAATTTTATAAAATATTTTTAGATAAAATTATTAATTAGTTATTATTTAACAAGTTTAACTACAAAAATATATTTGATCACTTCGTTAGTAATATTTCTTTCAATTTGTTGTACAACATTTTAAATATTGCACAACAATATCATTTTAACGACGACTTAGGCACAAACCTATTGATTTTATGCTTTCAAGAAATATAATAATTGTACCCCAAGAAATATAAAAATTTCATTTGAACTATAATAAAATTTCATTTTCAAACAAAACTACATCATTAAAAAAATTTTTTTTTTTTAATGTTTTCTTACTTGATATTTTTGCCTCGATTACCCAATTAATAAGTAAAAATAAGCTAATTTGTTTTGAGTATTTACTCAAAAAATACCAGTCATTTTAACATGAAATTTGGAAAATATTTTAAACATAATAATAAAATTTATTTGAGTGAAAATATATAAAAATAAAAGAATATTTAAAAAATGATGCATAAAAAACTAATTCTTACAAATTAAAGGAGTCAAACAAGATTAATTATGAGGAAATTTCAAGAATTATGCGTTAAAAAAAAATCTTCTCTCAAATGAATTTTATTACTATTATGAACAAAATATCAAAATTTCAGCTCTTTTTCATAATTATTTCCAAAGTAATCGTTTCGCAAACTTTTTGAAAATGTTTTGCTTAAGCATCTATTCTTATGGTGTTGTTACGGAAAAAAACTATTGGTTTAGTAGGCATAATGCCAAATTAATAATACTTAATTTTTTTTGTGTGGCCGTGGTGCAGTGGTTACAGAGCTTGCTTTATAAACAGAAGATCCAGGTTCGAAATGAGCTCTGGATATATTTTTGCGTCACGGTTAGGAAGAAGGCGTGAACTTCCTGGTTAAATGCGCTTCCGCGGTGCTCTGTGAGAAGACCGTTAGGTCTTATTGAGGCACCTAAACAACAACAACAACAAAAAATTTTAATGTCAAATTAAAAGTTTTTTGAATTTGTGAACAAAAGAACAGTGAGCCAAATTTTAAACAACTATTTTTTTTTTTCAAAACTGACTTTTATTTCTTGGGCTACCAAGTTATTATTTTAACAATTATTCATTCTTTTAAAAAATATGTTTGATTGTTGGTCATAACCATACAGTGATGGAACTAGCATTTTTTGGTCTTTGAAATATACAACTTCCAGACATGGAGCAAACTCCAAACATGTTTTATATGTTTGTACTTATGGCAAATAAGAATGCTTTTTAAAAAATAGCAATGATTGAAGCCTGGGAACAAAAAAAAAACAAAAAAAATTGTGTTTTTTTTGTTCGTAGAACCATATAAAATTGTAACCCCTCAAATTGAAGGGGTTTAAATTTTATCTAGTCACAATTTTTGAACGCTAAGACATTACACCACGAGGCTTAAAATTTGTTAATGAATATAAATCTAGTTATAAATAATACAAAAAATATTTTATCAACTTATTGCTCTCACGTTTGGGTAAGGGGTAGGGGCCAGATTATTTTAGTATTTTGTTCCCAGGTTTCAATCATTGCATTTTTTTGCAAAGCATCTTTATTTGACATAACTATACACATATAAATGTTTTGAGTTTGCTCCATATCTGGAAGTTAGTTATTTCAAAGCCTAAACAATGCTAGATCCTCTCCTGTTCTTATATTTCTAACTTCTCACTAATTCAAACAATTTTTTAGTGATACAATAGTATTAAGTTCAAAATTATAAAATTAAAAGTAAAATTTGTCTCTATATTATATTTGCATTTAATTTATTATATTATTACTCTATTATATTATATTTAACTTCCCTTATTCTCAATCGATCGATTCGTCATCATTTATCGAATCAATCGATTCTTGTCATTCAGACCACCCATTAGCTTTACAAAATCTTTAAAGTGATGTCAACAACTTACCGAGTAGTGAAAAACCTGTAAAATAAACCACAATATTATTACATGTAAATTAGTAAACTCTGAACAAAATCAACTTATAACTTACAATTTAGTTGCAAGTGATCAAAAAATAAAAAAAAGACTAATAAAAAAAAACAAAAAAAAAGTTTAAGGTTTTCCCTCGCAGAGCCAAATCATTTTGATAATTAAAAAAATCCAAAATCATTTTGTTAAAAATATCAAAACAGCGCATTAAGTAAAATGAAAATCGCCACGTAAAAGAGCTTAAGATCTCCTACTTCCGTTTTTAAATTAATTTAGTGTTGCATAATTTATGGACGACCCCTTAAGCAATTAATATACAGATACAATATTGCTTATTTTAAAGCTATAAAAAAGAACACATTAGAATCTATTAGGAAATAAAATAAAAACTGAGAGTATGTAGGAATAATTCTTACGAAGGAATTTATCCAATCAAAAAAATTACATCGCTTTACAAGATTTTTAGAAACTATATAGAATTGAGATTATATATTTCAATTCATTTTTTACTAAAATTAGAGCTTTTGTTATTTTACTATTTACAACATGTTTATAATAAACACCAATTAAAGTTGCATGCAGGATATCTATTTACCCTTACTAAATTTATTTCATTTTATGTTTCTGTCTTAACCGTAATACCTTTTTATTACCTTTTTTCAATGAAACTCTAAGTTAAAATGTATGTAAAAAAAATGTATAAAAACCAGACGTCTAAACGATTGTCCACCAGATTTCTAAAAATAATCGTCATTAAAGCGTTGTTTGTCTCTTCTTTAAAAAGTGTTATGGATGTCTTAATTTTATCTTAGATGTCTCAAAGGTATGAAACAGTGAAAAGATGTCTAGTAGACGTCTTTGTGGCCGCTGGGATGTTTGCTTAATCCAACTAGTTTTGGACTAAAAATATTAAAAAAAAATTGAAAAAAAACTGACACATCTGTAGTTTTTAAGTCTTTAATAATGTTATTAGAATAAAAAAAATTATTTTTCTAGAGAATTATTGGATGAAGTTAGTATATTACACATTTATTATTGTAATGCAATACTTGTCATCAACAAATCTAAGATTTAAGAAATTGCACCTAGTTAACGTGTTGATGTCACTTTTATAAAGAAGTGAGCAGTAAACCTTTATGAATTATTGAAACTTTAAAGGCAGTTAACATGCCTATAACCTGCTAATATAACCTGCTCTCTAATTTATGGCGCTAGATTTTCTTTTTTTTTATTTCTTTGCATATTTTGTACAACTATGCAAGTATGTGTGTGTGTGTATGTGTGTGTGTGTATTTATTTATAGGGTTACGATTGTCCCAGTTGTATCGTAGAAGAACGCAGTGAAAGCTTTAAAAATTAATATATTTACTTTTCTATGAAATTATATTTACACTTAAAATTGATTTAGGTATCTAGTGTTCAAAATGTTCTTATCACAAAACGAGACACTCTAGCAACTAATGGGATTATTCACATAACGAATGGCGTTTTAATTCCTCCAACTCAATCATTGTTAGATATTTTGCAGAATACAAAAAAATTTTATATTTTTGCGCAGGAAATACTGAAAAATAAAATTTTAGTCGACATTTTGAGCAAAAACGACGCGTCTTTTACAGTATTTGTTCCAACCAACAGAGCTATAAATCGTTACAAAATGTCAATTCAAAACTCGAATATATCGAACTTTTTTAATACCGAACTTTTATGTCGTCACATTGGAAGTAAAGCTGTTTTTACTAACCACATGTTTTTAAATGAAGAGCTTGTTGTTAAAACACTTGAATTCAAAAATGGCAATTTTACATTCATCAAACTGAGTAATAAAAAAAATAATGAACCAACCATTGTAGACTATCAGTCAACTTTATTAGCGCAAAATATAATAGCAACAAATGGTGTTATACACTCGCTTGATAAAGTTTTGACTAATCAAACAAATGAAAGTGAAAGTGTTTACATAAGAGCTGGATATCAAACAAAAGTAATAAGAGTAAAAAAAATTGAAGTGAAGTAAACGTGTTCCACTTATGGAAAACTTTAACTGATGATCATTTCAAAACTTTAACTTATATTTGTCAATATTTAAAATCTAATTAGACGTGTTACTTTGAGCATTAAACTAAATATAAAAGAAGTATTTACAAACGTTCAGTTTTGTTTTTCTAATGGCAATATAACACAATCAGTTCAAGCTGTGGTTACAACAAATGCAGTGTACGTTCTGATGAACACAATTACAGTAGCTTTTAACTGAAAATATTTTTTGTTGATTGAACTAACAATAAAAACTTAAACTTTTGATATAAGAAAAAAAAAGCATTTCCAATGTTTATGAATGATACAAGCTTCATCTGCTACCAAGATGGTACAAAATTTTTGCAATCCCATTTTTTGAATTTGTTGGTTTGGCTATTGGTTTCGTATTTAAGAAACATTTCAAAAATTCTCCTATAAATATTTTCAGCCAGTTTTGAGTGGCCGACTAGCAATATATATTCACATATATATTCACTAGATATATATATATATATATATATATATATATATATATATATATATATATATATATATATATATACATATATATATATATAAATATATATATATATATATATATATACATATATCTATGTATATATATATGTATACATATATATATGTATATATATATATATATATATATATATATATATATATATATATATATATATATATATATATACGAATATATATACATATATTTGTATATATATACATATATATATATATATATATATATATATATATATATATATATATATATATATATATATATATATATATATATATAATCTGTACATTTAAGTATTTTATTAATATGTTGGAATTTGTATGAAGTTATTTTTTTAAATATTTATTGTTATGTTCATGTAAATATGTAAATATATACATATATAGTAAATACATTGTTTTTAAATTACTATTAAAAGCAACAATGAAAAAATAATCTTTTTTTTTTTTTTTTTCATGCGATATTCTTAAAGTAAATTAAATTAAATTAAATATATATATATATATATATATATATATATATATATATATATATATATATACATATATATATATATATATATATATATATATATATATATATATATATATATATATATATATATATATATATATATATATATATATATATGTATATATATATATATATATATATATATATATATATATATATATATATATTGACGCTATGCAATACAATCAGTTGGCAAACCCATCTGTTAATACTAAATTAAAAAGTTGATAGAAAGTGAAAAGAATTAAGTAAAGAAATTAAAAATTATTAATAATATTTCATTTACGGATAATTCTTTTAAGTATTTTGTAGGAATATTTATGACAAAATGATCGATTTAAAAAAAAAAACTTTTTCGCTTGATAAATTTATAATAAATAATTGGTTGACCCAATTATTTATTATAAATTTTTCATTCATTCCTATATCGTTATAAAAAAGATAGTTATGATTGGCGGATAATTTTTGAAAATTTTTACCATCATTATTACAATTTATTTCTTTATTATATTTAATTAAAAAATAAAATTTAATAATGATAATAAAATTTATGTTTATATTTTTTTGATCATAACATAAAGTAAAAAATAAAATCATAAACATCACCTTGATATAAGCTTATAATATTTTTGTAATATATAAGTCGCAATAATCAGTCAAGAGCTTAAAGAAGGTAAAGATGATATGTCAATCATCGCAAACTTTTCATAGAGCCCCAGTAGTTCATGTTTACATATTCCAATTTTTTTGACACAGTTCTCATCTCCATGTTGTCTCATCTCCATGTCGGTATAAAAAAAAAAGGTAAAACGAAGATATGATGATCTAGAGTTCCATCTTGCACTGTGAAATGGAGGAAGCTTATGCCACTTAATTGTTCTATTACCACTGCTGTTCTGTTACCACTACTGTTCTGTTACCACTGCTGTTATGTTACCATTGCTGTTCTGTTACCACTGCTATTCTGTTATCACTGCTGTTTTGTTATCACTGCTGTTCTGTTATTACTGCTGTTCTGTTACCACTGCTGTTCTATTACTACTACTGTTCTGTTACCACTGCTGTTCTGTTACCACTGCTGTTTTGTTACCGCTGCTGTTCTGTTACCACTGCTGTTCTGTTGCCACTGCTGTTATGTTATCATTGCTGTTCTGTTACTACTGCTGTTCTGTTATCACTTATGTTCTGTTACCACTGCTGTTCTATTACTATTACTGTTCTGTTATCACTGCTGTTTTGTTACCACTGCTGTTCTGTCATTAAAGTAATGGATATCCATGAAAATTTTTTAGAGTTTCAAAAATGTCATCGGATTTTCCACTTTTACATTAAATAATTTTCAAGTTTTATTAGTTTTATTTTAAAAACATTAAAATAAGATTTTCAGTCTTGTTTGTTTATTTTTATCAAAATGTAAGAAGAAATGTTCTTTCGGTACTATTTTGTTAATGATTTTCTTCTTGCTTTCTCCTTTTCGTTGATTTTTCAGTGGTTCAATTCATTTTCTGAGATTTAATTGTCTTGTGAATCTAAATCTGAACCACCTGGTTATTCTTTTGGAGAAGTTGAACTGCTTTATATAGACAATTATTTAATTTGTTTGTAAAAGTTATCTTTTGCATTAAAAATTCCGACTTTTGAAGGATTCGGTGTGTGTTAGAGCTGTGACTTCTAAACTTAATAATTATATTTTATTTGTCATTTTTTATCTTTCAGACTAAAATACATGCCTTTAATGTAAATGATATGAAAAAGATCTCCCAAAATGGAGCTTTCTCCATTTTTTACCGGGTCTTTTAAGATACTTTTCATGCTTTTCTTTAACTTTTTCATTTTTTCTTCTAAATGATTTCGTAAAAATACTTGGAAAGCTAAGATTGTTTCGTAATTTACTTTTTCCATAGCAACTAACTTCACTCTTTTTTTTCTACTTTTTTCAATTGATGTTAAGTAGTTGTAACGTCCGATAATAAAATTATTTTTTAGCATTCTATTAAACGAATCTAATAATTTTTCAATAAAAAGTGGAACCGTTGTTGATGTTATACATTTTTCATTATTTATTTTAAAATCACCCCCTCCCTTTCTAAAAGGGTTTTTAGTTTTTTAAAAAACTAAAAACAAAAAAACGTTTAGTTAATTCAACATTTTTCTTTTACATAACATGTTTAATTATTTGTTTATTTTGCCTTTCACTATAAATACAATTTTTATATACATACATATAAAATAAATAAAAAAATAGCTCGAGCAAGAAGATGACATAATGTCTTATCACCAAGCACAATTTTTAGAAAATCGTAGTATACAAATATTTTATTAAAAAGACGTAAATATATAAACTAAAAGACAATATGAAGTATTGTTTTATATAAGTTTTTATACATAAAGTAGCAAATAGTATTTGTTAAACGGCTTACATTTTCTGCAGTAGTAAAAAAAACAAAGAAATATTACACTCATACCTCTTTCTGAGAGAGAGGTAGCAGTATAGTATATATATCATAGTAGTATAGTATATATATCATACATAAACTTTATTATATGGATTGTGATAATACAATTTTTTTAGTTCATCTTAATTTTTTATTTGAGTTTAACTTTCTTTAAAAGAAACATAAAAACTCCAGCATTGTGTAATCCATAAATAAGAAAACACGTTTTTTAAATAGATCTAGAGTGATTATCTTTTTTTAAATACTTATTGCTCCATTTTAACACGGGAGAGGTTTGCAAAATTCTTCTCACTTAGCTCTAAATACAATTCGACTTTCAAAAGCGATGTTACTGTATGTTAAGAAAATATGAATAAAAAAAAAGTACAAAATTTTGTTTACAGTATTTCTAGTGTTTTAAAATTAAGAAATGGTTTAGCTCTATAAACCATTTCATTATTTTTTGAATTTTTTTTTCTAACTAGTATGAAAATTCCAACTTAAATTTTTATCCAACTCCACGTCTAAAAAGTTTACTGATTAACGTTAACGTCACGTCTAAAAAGTTTACTGATTAACGTTAACGTCACGTCTAAAAAGTTTACTGATTAACGTTAACGTCACGTCTAAAAAGTTTACTGATTAACGTTAACGTCACGTCTAAAAAGTTTACTGATTAACGTTAACGTCACGTCTAAAAAGTTTACTGATTAACGTTAACGTCACGTCTAAAAAGTTTACTGACTAACGTTAACGTCACGTCTAAAAAGTTTACTGATAATTTTCTTTTAATAATAGTTTTGTTTATAATAAAATTTAGCAATTTGAATCGGATGATTTCAGTTTTATTTGATTTATGAAATAAAATAAATTTGGTTTTGTCATTGTTGAGAGATAATTTGTTACTTACAAACCACTCATTAAGTTTGTGCAATTGTTATTTCATTAACATGTTTAAAAAGTGTTTTAATATCTTGGTATGAATACAAAAGATTGAAGTTATTTGCAAATAAAACTGAATTTATAGGTTTGATGATAAATATAGATCATTTATGTTGAGTAAAAACAATAGAGCCCTAGGCAACTTTTTACAAGTTATTGAGTGTTTACCATTTACCATTTAATTTTGAATCATAGCATATGAATTGTTTTCTGTTTGTCAAGAAGTCTTTAAACCAAAATAAATTTTTGTTTCTAATGCATATAATGTTTCTAATACTCATAGTTTCAAGTTTACTTAGCAATATATCGTGTTTTACTGTTCCCAGTGGGCACGGCGCATTTTTTAAACGTTCTTTGGACGCTTTTACTAGATTTAAACCTAAGAAAAACGTCCAAAGAACGTTTAAAAAATGCACCGTGCCCACTGGATATCAAAGGTTTTAGACAGATCAATAAAAAACTCCAAATGTAAGTTAATCTTAGTTTTGAACGTCAGATATCTCGTGACTAGCTTGACTAGTGCGTGTTCAGTTTTTGAAACCGAATATTTTTCTATACAGCTTGTTTGCAATATATTTTCTAACATTACATTGATGAATCTTTTAAGAAATGCATAATTTAGAAGTTTCATTTTGCCATCATTATTTTAATAAGAAACATTAGATAAAAGTCACAAATAATTATTCACTTGGTATATTATAAAAAATCATCGCTTGTCTCTCTCTTCTTTAAAATGCTACTTAATAGTTTAAACTTTTTAGAAACCGAATGGAACCAGATAAGGCTCATATGAGTGTATCTGCCTAATTTTATTACCATACAGGACCCGTCTGGTAAAGAAATTCTGAAAACCAGAACACGCACTTGTCAAAATCCCGTTCCTGCAAGTTCAGACAAAAACCATAAAGTACCCGTATGTTGTCTGGGAAGTTAGTTAATTTTATTTAACAAGTTAACAGTAATACATGATCTAATGGACTCGCAGGTTCAAAATATAAATAGAAATAAAATAAATATACTTGAAAGGATACAAAATTAAGAAATAATGTACAACTTTAACAAAAACAT